AGGCCAACAAAATGGCAAGGAAACAAATTTTGGCAATCGCTTTGTTATTGATTTTGGTTTGGCTTTTATAGTATTTTTTTCGCTTGATTGATTTATGTATAAAACCTTGATCTTGGTGATTTTTTTTTCAAATATCCACTCTTTTGGCCCGATCTGACCTCAAAAATGTAAGCGATTTCGGCTTAGTTTCGTACAAATGAGCAAATTAGTAGTTACTTATCAGTTGTTTTTGTTTTAATCTTCTTTTTTATGTTGTTTCATTTTTTCCTGACAGCCTCGAGAGCTAAAAACACTTGAGAACAAGCGTTCGTTCTTTTCATTTATTGTTTTGTTTTTGTTCTTATTTAGCCACTTGGCGCTCACTTTCGCCTGTCTTTTCTGGCATTACGTATTTAGCTTATCTGCCAGTTTGTATTCATTTATTTATCTTGTTTTTTGCGAATGTTTTTGCGCATAAAAAAATGTTCTAATATAGGCGATGAGCAATTCTTATATTTTGATTAGTTTTTCAGAAAGCTTTTAGACAATTTAATACTGTTTATTTTTTTTATTTCAAGATAGGGACAATAAATTATAATTATTGCCAGTTAGTTTTGGTCTGGCAGTTGGCCAAAGGCAATAATATTCGCGGAGGGAAGCAGCCGGGCAAAGGCAGCTGTTGCAATTCAAAAAATAAATTTAAAAAAATCCTCCCTGCAGGTTCTCAAACAATTTTCCCCATCCCTTTCTTTAAACCCCCCTGCAAATTCGACAAGTTTCACGACAGACAACAACGAGACACATAAAGTTTGTTTCTCTTTTCCTTTATTTTTTACTGCCAGTCTGTCACACAAAAAAAGACGAGGAAAATTGGTTTAAAAAAATTCCACTGAAATAAAACAACTTTGGCCAGTTGTTGGGCGACTGCATAATACTTCCTCTTCAAACTTGGCACAAGCCACGGCCAAAGCCAATTGCAGGCATTGCGGACCGAATTCCAATCCCACTTAATGGGTTATGACATCGATGGGATGTTGTGCGGGAAAAGGGGTCTTCGAGCAACAATGTTTGGAAGGCCTAAGCCAAATCATCACAGAAAGCAGCAGCTGGCAGCTTTAACTTGTAATCCTGTAATTTTAGTTGATTAAGTTGTTTGTTAATAGTTCGTTACCAGAGTAAATAAACTGAACTAAACCGAAATGATTACTGGATGATGAGGAGGAAAGTTGTCTGGGGTTGCTGGCCTTTCAAGGCGTGAGATGGCAGTTCCTCATCGTTTGATCTCTGGTTAAACTGGTATAAAATATGGCCTAATAGTAATATAATATAATAGGTACATATTTAGAATACAAATTTAGAAATAAAATTTCTTAATGAGAAAAAAATACGTAACCCTTCAGGAAGTAAAATTAGTAAATCATAACAATTGTCCTAACAATTGTTCCTTTCTAATCCCACTATTAATCTAGAAATTAATTACTAATTTAACATAGTTTCGTTCCCAGTCCATAAATTAAGTTCCATAATTTGCAAGGGGGTCTAACTCCTCCTCCAAAAACTAGTCATTATCCCAAGACTCCCACATAAAAATAAGCCGTTGCGGAAACAAAAAGTAGCATCCGACAGCACTCCGATCATAAATGCTGCAACAAATTCTAATTAAACTACAAAACAATGCAATTCAAGTCATTAGAAACGACCTCAAACAATGGCCGTGGAAGAATGCGAAAAAAAGAAAGCCGAAGGAGAAAATCGAACTGGGAGTAGGGAGGAGTTCCCCGGGCATAAAGCACCAAGATGGGTGAGGAAGATGAGGTCTGAGGGCCTTGTGTGCTCAGCAGCCATGTCTTATCGAATCGGGTTTGCCATTAACTTGGCCCGAACCAAAGCAAACTGCATTCCAGCCATACTCAAGTGCGAGTAGAACTCCTGTACATATATCTCCTTATGCTCCATGCACTTCGCATGCCTTCCCTCCCCTCACACCTTGCCACTTTCCCCCTGCCCCCCCCGATTCCGTTTCTGCCACGTTGAGGAAGCGCCGTCGAGTTACTTGATATCAATAAAAGTGCACAGTGCTAAGATAAACTTGAAGAGCACCAGAAGGCCAGACACAAAACAGAAATAAGGTAAGTCTGGGTTCTGTGTTCAGGTTTTCAAATACTCTAGCAGGTAATACGCTCATTTATAATTTAAAAATTCAATCTGATTGTTATGGAGTTGTGATTAAACTTTAAGCAATTTTTAGTAATCATTTAAAGGTTAACTTTGGTCATTATACTAACCCTTTTTATATTTTTACTACAAACTGGCTGTGAAAACCTTGGGACCTTCAAGCAGGGTATAAAATATGGAAGTGGCAGAGGAAAGAAAAATGCAGAAGACACACAACAGCAGCAGCAGCCAACTCCAACCAGAAGAACAAGTGCAGGGTGGGGGTGAAAAGCCAGGGAAATGCAGAGGCAAAAATGTTGCACCTTTGTTAGCTGTGGCTGCTGTCTGTTGTTTTCTTGGTGGCAACTCTTGACTTGGGGCGGCCTAATGGATATGCAACGCATATGGCAAATTATCCAAAAATGTTGGCCAGAAGGGAGTTGAATAGGGGGAAAGCGGCGGGCCAAGCACACAGGTGAGCATGGGGCCAAAGTGCAGACCACACTTTAGACGAGGCATTCCCCCAGGTTGCCATCATTTTGAGCCTTTCTTTTTTGTTTGTCTTGTTTTGTTGCCTTGGCAAATTTACAGTTGCATTTTGGGGAGTGCATTTGGGATTCGTTTTGGACACGTGAAAACTTGTTTTTGATGTTTCGTCTGGGAGTTTCTTACAGAAACGTAAAAAAATGTATCCTATTTACTCATAATAAACATTTTTACTACCGAAACTTTTATGTTATCTAGAGGCAATCTTTGTAATCAAAAATGCTAACCAATTTTCTTTGATTATGCACTAACATACATTTTGCAGTTTCTTTTCTGTCATTTTTCGCGTTCTCTTCATTTCCGAGTTGATTGCAGCCAACAGACTTCCAATTGAGCCATGCTCCATTAGTTGGAATATACGGCATAATATTTAATGGGCCCAGTTTAAAGTTGCCGGCCAATAAGAGAGCGGCTGAGATAAAAAAGAACGCAGAGCGGCCAAAAGGCAATAAAAGAAGGAGACGAGGCACCGAGCCAACGATGTAGATAAAGGGAGAACGAATGCCAATGAAAGGGGCTGACAATGCGGACGCAGTAGGAATATTCAGATTTTTCATATCGCATCTATGAGATACGTGAGCCTCTGGCCCAGTCACAGGAACAGTGGAAAAATATGCAAGCGTGGAAACCAAAAAGGCCACGAAATCCTTAAAATGCTGAGCGGCATGGGATCCTCTTTAAACTGCCTGTAGATAAATTGCTCGAGCGCGAGGAACGAGTTGAATTTCAAAACTAGAAAACATGGCCAGCTACGTACATATGTATATATAAAAACACTCAATGCGCACCTGTCGCCAGGTAAAAACGCAACCGGCAAACGTCTTAGTCAGCAAGGTAAAGAAAAAATAAAACCAGAACTCAAAGACAAAAGTCCAGAAAAATCACACAAGCACACTGAGCAGGTAGAAAAGAACCAGTAGGAAAGTAAACAAAATGGGAAAAGTAGGAAACCACAGAGACTTCAGATCTTCTCTGGGAAGAAAAATTTAAAGTCAGGCAGAGTGGAAAAGGGGATCCAACAGTTGGAATGAAATTCACCTGTCGCCGATCTCACAATTCTTAGTTCTTTCTCGTTTTTAACTCTGCTGAGCGGCTTTGACATTTGATCGTGAGTTTCGGGTTTCTTCACACACTACACTTTGTGGGGCACATCGGCTTAGGGCAGTAATCTTATTGGTTATTTAAACTGAGAATTAAGACAATTTTGCTTTTAAGTGTGGAGCTTTACAGCTTTCCTATCATAATATTTCCACACTGTTTTCGGATTTTAATTGCGCATGGACTATCAGGCTTTAACCCGAGAAGGGCATTAAATTCGACAAGCTTGAAGATCATTTTCAGCCTGCCATGTGCACTGTGTTTATTTTTTTACTTCACAGCTCCCATCGCTCCGTCTCTTTCGCTCTTTCTGTGTTGTTCCCGCCGCAATTTATTTTTAACCCTTGGGTAACTTTAATGAGCTTAAACTGACCGCCGCGTCGGCTCAAAATGAAAACACCACAAGTTTGAAAAAAAAGATACACACGTAACGTAAGAAAAACTTTACAAATTAGTCATTGTGATTAATGAGCCGGTGTTGCCCTCTCTTTCGCCCTCCATCTACCCATCTCCTCTCCCGCTTCTAGACAAAACGTGTCCAAGTTGCGCTGATTTATTTCGTGTGAGCTTTTTGAAAAAGATTATAGGTGTCTGAGGCAGGGGGGCGGGGGTCGAAGGGGATTCCTTGTGCAATTCGGTTTGCCCCTCTGCATTTATCTAGATCAGCAGAGCGTTAAAGGGGCTGGATCTTGAAGCTAAATGCATGTGTTTGGGTCAAGTTCACCTGTCTTGCGCCCAACTTGCGCAGTTATGGTTTAATATGGCCAATAATTCGTGCGTTCAGCGAGTTTTATTACAGTTTCTGAAATTTTGTGAATTTTAGTCACTGAAATACGACTTTTTCGTTCTAAAAAGCCATTGTCTACAAACTTGAGCGAGAAGACTTTTTTAATTATTAAAATTAAGTGGAAGCGGATAAGTTTTAATTCGAGGCTTGCGCAGCTCCCAAACTTTCAAAAAGTGTTGCTGTTAATGGGATCTATTCTGCGGCATGGCCTTCAAAGTATGTACACATCGAGAAAAGCGAGGACGCTCAGCTGAGAGCGGAAAACCACCCCCAAAAGGGGGTGGCTCCGCACATCCTCATCCACCTTCGAAAACCGTTTTTCTGGTCTAGGTTAAACAGACATTTCGACACATACGCAGCATCCAAAGGAATTCCATCAACCCCGAAAATGTGCGTTTTCGTCAATTGGAAGTGTGTCATGCGGTCCAAAACTAACCTTTATAAAAAAATTCCTTAAAAACAGGATTTTCGTAGTGGTTCCTGTTTATCTTCTTTCTTCTTTCCTTTCACCGGTCTTTTGCTTTCATCTCCCTTTTTTTTTGCTTTGACTTTGATTGGTTTTTTTTACTTTTTGTGGTATTTTTTTCTGTTTGGTTTCCTTTATTTTTTTTATTTTATTTACTTGTCACTTGTTTGTTGTTATGGTTTTTGTTGCTGTCTTTTTTATTTTCTAGACAGGTGCACTAACAAAAACAACACACGCACACTCCGACGAATTTTGCAAGCGTTGCACACAAACACACACTCACACACTCGAAGACTTTGGCTTTGAACTTCTTTCTTTCTTCTTTCCTCTCCTTTTGCTTTTTGTGCCTTTCTGCTCTTTTCACTTAGTACACGTATTCGCTGTATTTTATCTAATCTCGGGTTCTGCCTTCAGATAATGCCTAATAGCCGCGACACTTGAACATAATTAACTATTTGTATTTCATCTCTTCCTCTTCTCGGCAAACGCCGCACGCTGCAAACACAAAAACACAAAGCAGACACGACGCGACGCGACAAAACACGTCCGCTCCGAGCAAAATTTCGAATTTTTCTGACTCTGTTTTGATTTGATTTTCGCTTAGCGGTGAGAAGTGTATAAAAATATAATATATCGATATTTTTCGAAAAATAAATAGGAATATCGATAGTTTTATTTTATAGTTTGTTGTACTTTTGCAATTTAAAATGTTTAAACACAAACTGTTGGACTTGGAAAAAAGTATTCGCTTGCTATAAATATTTTCAATTTCTGGTTTTTACTTAGGGTACGGTCACACCGGACTTTGTTCTTTTTTTTACATTAGGAGGATGTATTCGGTAATATGTAAAAAGGGTGGGTAGAGTGTCGAATGTAAATAAGTCGTGTCGAGTTTATTTGTACAGTAGAATCCGGTTATAACGACTTTCAAGGGACCGACCATTTTTCGTCGTTATAACCGGAAGACGCACTAAGCAAAAGGAAGAAATAAAAAATTTTTTTGATTATTTTATGGTTGCTGTGTTTGTAATAGGTTTTTAAAATAAATCAAATTAATTTTTTTATTAAAACGAAAAATTGAATAAATTAAATTCAAAACCATAGGTTTTTCTAAATACTGAAAACTGAATGAGCTTATTATTGCACATATTGCATTTGGCAAATTAAAACATTCAGTTTTCACCGAAAAAGCAGAAAAACTAGAAATATAACGGGTCATCTCATGGAATAGGCTACAAGGTCTGCACACGCAGTGTTAGTCGGCATTGTACTCTCTCTCTCTCTCTCTCTCTCTCTCTCTTGCAGCAGCGTAGTTAAGGCGACAGCTAAAACTAACAGAGGTTGTGCCAGTGCAAGATCCTTCGTGTCGCTGCTACGCACACAAGAAGGGTGCCGATCACTGACAAATTCATACATTTCTAACAGCGTGTTTTGATGCTTAAATTTGGAACTACGGCACTGTATTTTTCCGGCACGACGCAATATCCGGTTAAATTTTTCAATTTTCTTGAAAAATTTCATTCTTATAAGCGGTTTGTCGCTAAAAGCGGAAACGCTCTAAGCGGAGGCCCCTTCATATAACTTTGTATGGGGACCAACCAAACCAACGAGTTTTTCTCCCAAAACCCCCGGCGGAAGAAGCGGAGTCGTTATAACAGGATTCTACTGTAGTTCAAAAATGAAGTTTCTGTTTTACTCGCTGAAACTCGATTTCTACAAGGCGCAAATTTTTTGAAAATATTTAAACTGTCATTTTCCCAATTGCCATAATTAATGGTTAAAGAAAATTATTTTTTGTAGGAGAAAATATTTTGTGATATCTTAATAAAATCAAACAAAATTAATTCAATGGTTGGTGTTTACCGAACGAATTTATTCAGATCTAGGCAAGTGCATTCAACTTAATGCAAGTAATTCTAATCAGCTCACCTCGTGCTCATTCAGACACTCGGTTTATAAACAGCCGATTGAGACCGATAGAGCTCATTGATAATCCGCATTCGGAATGCATCGGTTTGCTGTGGCCCTAATATTCGCACTTATTGCGTGGCAATCGATCGGTTCTTCGGCTGAAATCCAGTCGGTGTGCCAGTTGGAGGATCCGCCGAAGCAATGCGGCGAGTTCTGCCTCACGGTGCTGCAACCGATCCTGGATCACATCGCCAAGCACCAGGAGCAGTGGAGCAATTGCAGCGTCCGGCAGGCGGGTGAGCTGCTGGCGAGGCTGGACAAGATCGAGAGCCTGCAGTCGGCGATCCACGTTAAGCAGAAGGTCCTGCAGGCGAGTTGGGAGAGTCCCGCCTTGCCCAAGGACTTCGAGGAGCGACTGGAGAGGATAGAAGGTCGCCAGGCAGAGCTACTGAAGGGGATCTCCAAGGTGGACAGGAAAACTGTTCCGGCCAGGTTCGAGCTAATCGGCTCCAGGTTCTTCTACGTCGAGGAGGAACTGCGTCGGAATTGGTCCTCTGCCGCAATCACCTGTCGCCGAAGGGGCGCTCAACTGGCGGTGATCGAAGGCGAGGAGGAGCTGAAGGCCCTGAGGACGCGGCTCAACAAGGAACGCTCGTATTGGCTGGACATCAACGACCTGGACACCGAGGGCCAGTTCAAGTCCTCGGCCACCGGCAAAGAGCCACCGTTCTACAAGTGGAGAGCCGGGCAGCCCAACAACTTTGACGGCAAACAGCACTGCGTTGATCTCCTGGACGGGCTCATGTACGATAATAAATGCGACACCCAGAGGTACTTCATTTGCCAGTCGGACAGCGAAAATTGATAGTGGAATTATGGAGAACCCAATCCGATATTCCCACGAAACACTTTTACTCTGCTATTTTAAAGCTCCTAGTTGAAACGCTTAAACGCTTTTATCACTAACCTCAGGGGCTTGAAAACAAGACATACAAAACAACATTTGGATATAAGTACATACATTAAAAACATGTTTGAATAAAACATTTTGGTAGAAAGCACATAAAAAGGGGCTCATTGAGTATTTAGCAAATTAGTTAATTGGCGAAATTCGATTTACTCGGTCGCGCGCTTTCAAAATGTTGAAGTTCGGATTTTTGTTTCTCTACGCCTTCGTTGGCTGTACCTTTTCCGGGAAAGTACAGGCAACTTGTGTCCTGACTGATGCCCCAAATCAGTGTGGAGCATTTTGCCTATCGTCTCAGATGCCTCTCATCGATCACAATCGCAGGATACAGGCGCAGTTTGATCTCCTTTCTGCACAAGGAAAAGTAACTCAGGCGAAGTTAGAGCGAATAGAAAAATTAATAAGTGCAATGGTGATGCCATCGAATGGGACTCAGGGAGGCCCAACAACGATCCCACCGATCCCACTGATCCTGATCCCAGTGGGTGCTGGGGAAATCCCGCCTGGTTTCGAGCTGATTGGATCCAGATATTTATATTTTGAACATGATCTGAAAAGAAGTAGGGATGACGCTGGTGACATCTGCATTCGAATGGGAGGGCGCCTGGCGGACCTCAAGGACGAAAATGAGAGCGTGGGCATTGGTCGCAAGCTCCACCGTCATCGTTACTGGCTGGGCATTAATGATCGGGAAAACGAGGGGCAGTTCTTAACTGCATCTGGTCGCAGTGCACCATACTTGCCGTGGGGTCCAGGAGCACCCCACCCCGATAACCGCAATAGAGAGTGCGTTATCATGAGCTGGGATAATTATAAAATCTTCCGAAGGGATTGTGAACAAAAACATCGTTTTATTTGTCAGTTAGGCGACGAAATTTAAGTAAAGGTTATTCATGAAATACCCTTAAACTTGGAATTGGGAAATGTGGAAATATATTGATAATTGCAATTGTTAAATTGGCGTGTGATTCCTAAAATGAAAAGTGTCTTATTGAAATAGGTGTGTTAGATAAAGGAACCGAAGTCACTATAGTATCTCGAAACCTTCAGTGACCTTATTCTATATAAATGGGAAACCTTGAGGTATTTCATTTGTCTGTCGGACAACGAGAGTTGGTAGTGGAATTCCGGAGAAACCTGCTCAACAAACACAAACCGCTCTTCTCACGGAACACTTTTACAATGCTATTTAAAAGCTCGTAGTTAAAATGTTTAAACGCTTTTATCACTGACCTTAGGGGTCTTGAAACCACATTTTACCATATACATACATTAAGCAGCTGTCTGAATAAAAGATTTTGGTAGAACACAGATATAAAGGGGCTCATCGACTATTTCCAAATTAGTTAATTGCCGAAATTCGACTTACTCGGTCGCGCGTTTTCAAAATGTTCAAGCTCGGATTTATGGTTCTCTACGCCTTCGTTGGCTGCATCTTTTCCGGTGAAGTGCAAACAACTTGTGTCCTGACAGACGCTCCAAATCAATGTGCGGCATTTTGTCTATCCACTCAGATGCCCCTCATCGATCACAATCGCAGGATGCGGGAGAAGTTAGATTCACTTGCTGCACAACTGAATGAAACTCAAGCCAATTTAGAAAGAATTGAAAAACAAGGGCAAACAAGGACAACGATGTTGCCATCGGACGACACATCGAGTGCGGTCCCGCCTGGTTTTGAGCTGATTGGGTCTAGATATTTCTATATAGAAAATAATCTTAAACTAAATAGGTATGATGCGGATAATAGCTGCGATGGAATGGGAGGGCGCCTGGCGAAGCTTAAGAACTCAAATGAAGAAAAGGCCGTGGGTCGCAAACTCGACTATCATAGTTACTGGCTGGGTAATATTAGAAGTGGTCACTACGATAGAGAGTGCTTTTCCGTGCATGATCATTATTACTACCGTTGGAGGGATTGTTATTCTGAACAATATTTTATTTGTCAGTTAGATGACTGAATTTAGATGAAGGTTAATCATAAAATACCCAACAAATTGGAATTTGAAAATGTGTAACATAATAAATTTGTCATACTTTAAGCATACAAACGAGCTAAATAAATATATTGTTAATTGCAATTGTGAAATTGGCATGTGATTACTAAAATGAAAAGTGTCTTGTTAAATTAGGTGGGTGAAATAAAGAAATCGAAGTCACTACAGTATCTCAATACCTTCAATGTACATTAACTTGTAGGGTTTGTGTTTCAGCTTCTGGTTGCGCTCCTCGCAGCTGATAAACAAAAAGCGAGTGCCGGAGGAGGCGAGGAGAAGCGGTGATCGCTTCTATTTCATTGGTCAATGAGACCACGAGAGTTGGTATTGGAATTCTAGACAAATATGTTCAATAAACACAAGCTGCTCTTCTTACGGAACACGTTTAATCTGTTATTTTAAAGCTCCTAGACGTTTTTTTTTGCTGACCTTAGGGGTCTCGAAATATAATTTTAGCAAAATACCCGGGCTCATCAAGTATTTCCAAATTAGTTGATTGACGAAATTTGATATACTCGGTCGCGCGTTTTCAAAATGTTCAAGCTCGGGTTTTTGGCTCTCTACTGCTTCGTTGGCTGCATATTTTTGGGAATAGTGCAAGCAACTTGTGTCCTGACTGATGCCCCAAATCAATGTGGGGCATTTTGTCTATCCGCCCAGATGCCCCTCATCGAACACAATCGCAGGATGCGGGAGCAGTTAGATTCAATTGCTGCACAACTGAATGCAACTCAGGCCAAATTAGACAGAATTGAAAAACAAGGGCAAACAAGGACATTGGAGAACGAGATTCAGGCAACTGTTAGTCCTGGAGGATTTCCTGCGAAGCCAACGAACGAGGTTCATAGAAGTGGTAGCCGTGATATAGTGTTAGCCACGAGAGCGATCCCGTCTGGTTTCGAGCTGATTGGGTCTAGATATTTCTATATAGAACATAATCTTACACGAAATAGGGATAATGCGGATGACATCTGCCGTCAAAAGGGAGGGCGCCTGGCGGTGTTTGGGGAAGTACATGAGATGATGGCCGTGCTTCGCAAACTCGACTCTTATTTTTACTGGCTGGTCGATACTAGGAATCAACCACCTCACTACGAAAAAGAGTGCCTTTCCGTGCTTGATTTGCATGCATATCCATACTTCGATTGGATCGATTGTAAATCTGAACGATATTTTATTTGTCAGTTAGACAACTAAATTTAGATGAAGTTGAATCCCGAAATACCTAAAAAATTGGAATTGGAAAATGTGTAACATAATAAATTTACCATACTTTAAGCATACAAAAGAGCTAAATAAATATTGTTAATTGCAATTGTGTAAATGGCATGTGATTACTGAATTGAAAAGTGCCTTATTAAATTAGGTGTGCGGAATAAAGAAATCGAAGTCACTACAGTATCTCAAAATCTTCAGTGTACTTTAACTTGTAGGGTTTTTGTTTCAGCTTCTGGTTGCGCTGCTCGCCGCTGATAACAAAAAGCGAATGCCGGAGTCTGGGACAACTTTGCTTACGTATTTTGTTTTACAACATGTTTGTGTTTGCCCCTGATATCGCACATCCAACTCAGATAGATGCGTGCTAAATATAAGAGCATCTGATGGTCCCTCTATCTTTGACATCGTTAGATTAGCAGATAATTTAGGGCTCCAGCCGCAGAAGGCCACCTTTAAGCACCGCCAACTGATCGACAACAAGTCCGTTCCGCCGAATTAGATATACTCGCAAGGTATTTGTAGTTTTCTGCTTAGTGCCGAGACAGTTCAAATATTTTACTTTGCACTCACATGACACACGAGATGGAGTCCCACTATCTTATCTGTCAACTAACAAAACAAAGTTATGAACTCCCTTCAGGAAGCGCCACTAATCAGTTAAGCCCCACACATAAAGGTTTATTCTTTTTTTATATGCAGGTTAAGCCGGGTCAGTGGGGCGTAAATATTCTCCAACACCCGAAGAAAAAAGGCGAATGAAAATACAAATTCGCCGGTTGTCAGGCCATACATATCTGAATACCTAAATTGGTTTCGATAACACGTGCTTTAATCCCAAATAATCAATCATTATGCGCATGTAGTTTCTTTATCAGTTAATGTGTTTGGCACTCATCAAGAAATATGCTCGATTCTGGTCAGTTTAGTTCGTTCTTCGCCCCGGTTCGCAACGTTGGAAAAACTATAGAAGTCGCCTCTGAGGAAATGCATAAGACTTTCGTGATTCTGAAACGGTTTTCCAGTTCAAATCCTTTTAAGAGTCCCAACACAGCTTCTGCTGGAGTTTTCGAGGGGAGAGAAGGTTTTGGCAGAGCCTTTGAATACGGTTGATATCAGTTGAATAAAGTAAGGCATGTTTTTTTATTGTGAGATATAATATATATATCTTGGAGTACAAAGTAACCATTTAAGTTAAAAGGGGAAAGAAAAAGATCGCAGTTTTTATTGTATAAAGTTTACATAGATTGCTTTAAATATTTACCAGAGAAATTACATCTCTTTTTTGTTCTGATCAACTTAGGATATTTAAGAAAACTTGATAAATAAATCCCAATCCGTGTAGATCAGTGTTTCGATCCTCAATGCAGATATTTCAATTAGAAAACAGAGCGGCGTGCGATTACGAATATTTTTCACTGTATCTTCGGCCGCCTCTGCGTATCTGTAGCGCGTTTAATCCCCAGAGCGATTGCATCTCGGAGGTCTATCTGAAAAGCCCGGGGGGCGGAACACCCCGCTCCGCCGAAAGGTGAACCTTGGCCTACCCAGTGATCTTTCGCTGGGTTCTGGACCCCCGAACACCCCATCTCCTCCGCCGGGCTGCCAGTCATTCTTGCGGAGATCGCGACATTGTCGCACGTCAGCCGTCGCTCAGGTTTCGTTGGCTTTTTATCTCCATTCAAGAAACACGGGAGACATTATCTCCCGGCGATCTTGTCGCATCAACAGAACAGAGCAGAGCAGAACAGAACAGAACAGCAACAGCAACAAGAAGAGCTCGAGATCTGTCAGCAGGAAAACACACCGAGATGGAGAAGCGCACCAATTTAAGTTAGAATCAGCATCATCATTATGACGATCAGTGTGCTCAGAGATCTGGGGGATACGATCTGGGGGATCTGGAGATCTGCAGATATAGCTGAGAGGTTGATAAGAGATTTTCATTTTCCTGCAGCTCAGTCACGAAGCGAACGGCGACTGGGAAAGTTCAAGCGGTTTCAAGCGGTCCACAAAAAAAAAAAAAATAAACGTAAGAAAAAGAAAAATCGAATATACAAGAAAGCGAGCTTTCACGCAGTGAATTTTTGGAATAACAAATTGAAAGGAAAGCCCCCGAAAGTGGAGCAAAAGTGGAAACCTTGAAAAGTGCAAGGAAAACGGAAAAGCTAATTGAAAATAACAAAGATCAAGTATTTGAAGTCTTGAAAAACCAAACTCAGTCAAATTGTGCTCTGTGATTTAGTGTGTAATATACGAGTGCGAGTATAGCCACAACAACAACTGGCTTTCGTCCGCCTTGATGATCACAAATTTCAATTGAATTTAATCAAAATCACAAGAAAAAGCCAGCGAGAGAAATCGTAAAAAGCAAAATAAACTAGGGATTTAATTTCGAGTGCCGCGCAATGTGTTATAGTCTCTGTGTGCAACAGTGAGTGACCGAGAAACTTAGATCGGTGGCAGTTTTCCCCTCTCCCCACCCCACCCCTCACCACCGAGTGTCGATTTCCAAAAATGGGGAAAATGGTCAGCGAGGAAATGGCCACGGATCCGGCGCTTTCGGAAAAGGTGGAACTATCGCGATTCGGAGAATTCTGCCAGCGGCGCGGCATTAATCCCAACCTGATAATGCTGAAAATAACCCTTTTCGTGATGTACGGCGGTGAGTAATGCCTTGAGTGTATAATTAAAAACCAATTACAATAGCCCTTATCAATCGTTGTCGTTTACCCTTGGCTTTCGGTTAGGTTCCTGCCAGATATCACGCATACGACACGTTGTTTCAGGGAGTTGTAAAAAGAAAGACCGTAGATTGTGGAGACAAATATTTAGTATAATAAATAAAATTTTTAAGATTCGGATGCATTTTCTGTATCTGTTTTGTAATCATCGCTGAATATCTGTCCCATCGGTTTTATTTTAACTTAAAAAATATCCAACGGTTGAAACTAAAGTACAGTTCTCTAACTTTATCTTTCGAAAAACAAACATTTACAGGCAATGCAGCAGCTGAAAATAAGCCGAGCAAAGTCCGGGCAAACGAATCGTTCTCTGGCAGTGAATCTGAATTCATTATCACACCCTCCGAGTCCCCTACTCCGGAATGTAGGGGACTGGGCTGGTCGGAAGCTATCAATTAGGCTGGGGAAAATATGTAACACATTTGTACAAATTCAGTTAGAGTCTGATGCACATTCGAGCAGATTTTCCCAGCGTGTGGCAATTAGGCATTCATAATGTTTGCGTGTGTGTGCGTCTTTTGTAAATAAATCTAGCTTATGAGATTTAAGCTTGAGAAAGGTTTACTTTGATTCGCCTTGGACGAGTAGCTGTAGCCTCCGCCTTCGCTTTTCGCCTCCGTTTTTCGACCGTGCGCCATTTTCTGAATGTTTTTGCTGGCGGTCAATGGCAAAAACATTTCGCCTCCCACCCACTTTCCACTCTCCACCTCCCGCTTTGTCTTTTGCCATCAAACTCAAATTGTCACTAAAATGAGTATTAATGCGTTTTTTATTTGGCTAAAGTTGAGCCGAGGATTCCTTTTCGGCACTTCTTTTATTTTCGTCTCGGTTCAAAAAAATAATTGAATTGGCTTCAATCATGTTCTTCTACAAAAAAGTAATTTAATACCTTTAATTGGCTAGACAAAGGAATTCCAGAGCTCATTCTTTAATACTTTTGTGATATGTTTTCAAAATGTAATTTCCTACATGAGCTTTTCATCATTTTCCATATGAGTTATTCTTTTGTCATTAAACGAAACAATACAAAAAGCCGACTAAATTAATACACCAGATATTTAAACTGAAAATTACAAACTTACAAAAAGTGAAATGTTGCTAAATTTTTTTTGTAATAATACAATAAAAAACATGTTTTTAAATTGAACATATTTAATGTACTAAACATTCTCACAAAAACAGATATGCCTCTAGAATTAAGAGGAAACCATTCAGAAATATTGCGGTAACTCATTGTTAATGAACGCGTTTATTAAACTGTAATTAGTTGTTGAAATATGCCTTTTGTTTGCACAAGAAACCTTTGGTGATTTAATTAATTCATTTTAATTATTTGTTCAATATTGATTTCGTTTCAGTCATTTTTAATTGTGGCCTTTTGTTCCCTCTTTTTTGTCTTTTGATCTTTTGAATTCATTTTTGCTTAATCATTTTTGTGTAAATAGCAAAAAGCATTTGACAATAAAGCAAAAATTGCCTGATAAATTTACAAGCTTAAAACCTAAAGGAGACCCGAGTGGATAGTAATTTTAGTTTCATGATTCATCTTCCATATCAGTCTCCTTTAGTTTACAAAGTTAAATTAGTTAGTGAAACGATGGACCAAAATGTCAATTTAATTTCCCCTCCTCGATGAAGCCCGGAAATAAAACAAGTGCAGAAATGAATTGCAATTAATATTTCTGGCAGCACATTTCACATTTGTCACTGTCAGTTGCGGGTCTCTTTTATCTGTCCCATCAAATATTCTCGAATATTCACAAATAAAGTGCAATATAGTGGCAACTTTCATAGATTGCCGAACGTGTTACCAAAACTTTGTGCATAGTTGAAAATATGTGCGACATGAGAGAAAAACGGAATAATAATTATTGAGGGGATTGGGGCAAAAAGAGTATTTTAAACGGGCAATGGGACATTAATTACGAATGACATCGTGGCAGGAACAGATCCCAACCGAACGGAACTGAGGCGAAACTTTACACAGCCGCAGCACCGACAAAAATTATATCGATAATACCAAGATTTTTTATTGCATTTAAACAACAATATGGTGCTTTGTGTTCTAAGGTAGTCATAATTTATTTGAACGATAGACTGGAAAATTTTCTTCATAAATATTTTTAATTAGTTATGTTTCACTAAATATCTGTTTGTATCTTTCGTGAAATTAATAGTTTAAAATTTTTTTTTATTTGCAACCCCATTTTTTTTAACAATCTTAAACCTAAAATTTTTCTCTCTGTGCTTGAGAACTCGAACGAACATGAATGGCCGCCAAGCCAAACAACCCTGACATGCTTGCGTTTCCGTTTCCGGCGAGCGAACGGGAAGAAGCGGCAGTGGCAGCGGCAGCGGCAACGCGAGCAATTAATTGTTATTGCATTGAGCAAATACAAACGGACACACACACGGCGTATACGTATTATTGTTAATTATCTGAGGCGATGCAGGAGCCGTAAAAACGAATTCAAGCCAAGCCGCCATTTTCCGAGGCCGAGTGTTAACTGCACTTTAACAAACGAATTTCATTCTGGACACGCACTTTTCCCCTGTGAACACGCACACCCCCACACATATACACACACCACTTTACGTGCCCGGGATCCTTGGCGTGTTTGCATTTAAATTGGTCAAGGCTGCGGAGTGAAATGGTGGCTGGGGAAAATTGGGGATGTGACTGCTTCCCTGTTTCGCCCAATTTGTTGCCATTATTTTCCTCCGATTTTTCTTTTTTTTTCCTCCTTTCTTGACTTCAGACGTGACGCGTGCTTGGTGCGTTAATGTTCATAAATTATTGAAATGCAAGGCGATTATCTGCGGAACGCTTTCGATTTCTTGTTCGCGGTGTCATATCAGAAACAGTTTTATGAAATGTTAAAGTATAAAGTACGGTAAAGCCTAGCTTTTTGTAATATTTAAAGAACATTCCCCCAGGAGTATTCCTTAACATACATTGTTCCATATTCAGGCTTTTGTTGAAATTAATTTTACTTGTTGAATTAATTTCTCCCTTGTGTTTGTTCGATGTCAATCAATTACTTTACAATAATGACACTGTAATTTAATTGAGAGGAGATGAAAAGCAAAGAAACGCGTGTGTTTCTCTTTCATTTATTCAGAAACTTTAATTACCCCCCACTGGCGTTATTAACCCCAACGAAATGCCACCGCTTCGATTGAGCAATTTCCCTTCTTTCACAATTGCTGCTGATAATTAAGTTCTCCTCCTCAGCTCCCGATAATTCGCACAATAATCGGTACTCCTTTGTCCTTGCAGCGACCTCGTCCCTTCTGCCCTACCTGACGATCCACATGCAGTCGATTGGCCTCACCGTGGAGGAGATTGCAATTATCTACCTGGCCCTGCCCTTCACCACATTTCTTAGCCCGCCCATCACAGGTGAGTAGAGGGGTATATCGTGCAGAGTAAATGTATTAATGCATCTTCATTAGCGCTGTGCGTCGATTTTAATTAAAAGTTTTGCTTTGTTTGATCGCTCGGGCATGAAAACGAGAGCAGAAACCAAAAATAAAACCAAACGAAGCGTTTTCCCGGCTGTGTGCCACCTTCATGTGCAAATATGCTTTCAAAAGTCACTTTATTAAATTCGTTAAAAAATATTTCAGCGGTTGAATATAAGATGGATTAAACAAACATTTAAACTTAAATTTAATAAAGCTTAATAAGAAATTTTACCAGCCAACTTTGTATAAAGAATTTTCAAAAAACCAATTAAGAATATCTATACGATATGCAGAAATAAAATCCTTCAAAAACGGCTCGTCTCGTAAAAATATATTTATTCAACCAAACTGCCGACACTTGATTGGTTTTTTATCCATCCTCTCTGGGATTTTTTCCAACGCAAAGCCTTTTTTAGACCAAGCCACTTTTCCGGACGAGTGCGAATAATTTAATTCACTTGCAGTTTAAATGACAATTAAACAAAGTTCTTGTTGTTCTCCTTTGGCTGTCTGTATGTGAAGTGCCCCCATCGTGTGGTTGCATTCTGCTCCTTTTGTCCCCTGTTTTTTATCCGTTCTTATTATTTGCTTTTGCATTTTTAAAATGCATTTGCGGTATGGAGTGTTGGCGACAGCGAAGGTTTTAAAACATTTTATGTGGACACTCGCTGCAGACAAATGTTGGGGGTAAATGCACGCTGAAACAAAGCGCCGCGGGCCGAGAGAAAAGTGCATAAAGCTGGTCAAATTGTTCAGCATAAAAGCTGGGAAAAAGTATAAAATGTGCGCTAAGTGAAACCGCTCTCGTAAAGTTGCGACATCAAAATTTCGATCATTTCAGTTGCCTATAATCTTGCGTGATGGCCTTATTTAATGGCATTGAAGCTCTAAGTAGTGCAGCAGTAAAAACGAAACGGGTTGAAATGAAAGCCCATTAAAAATCCAATATTTTAAAGTAGTGTGTGTAGCAAAATAAATACTACATGTTGAACAGAAAGAAGTTAAATATTTAATTTTGTATTTAATCTTGTAAAATAAGAATCAAAGTGAAAGCCATTCAAGAATTTTAAAGCTTTTTCCGACTTCTTGGTGTGGCAAATCCAACTTAAATCATACTTAAGCTGTCAGCAACCAATCAAAGCACCCAGCCAAATTCTTGACAACTTACTTTGAGATTTTGGATTCACACAAGCAACCAACCCAATGCAGTTGCAAACATCTTGCTGCCATTTTGCTTACATTTTCCGCACTTTCATCCCCTCACTTTTCCCGCTTTTCTACTCCCCGAAGGCTTCCTCGTTGACAAATTTGGCAAATACAAACCGGTCGTTGTGATGAGTCTGCTCCTGAATGCGATTTTCCATCACTCGCTGCTCTTTATACCGCAGCAGGAGATTCCGGGCGTGGTGCCATCGGCGTTCGTATTGAGACATCCAGACAGCGGCGATATTGAGGTAAGTTCTTCTAACACTGAGAAAAATAAACAACTACATTACTTTCCACAGCTTACCCAAGTAAAAAACATCTTATTTTTACTAGAAAAAGAAAATTATTCCTGATTCAACAACAAATTTAAACTACATTTTATATATAATTTTTTTTTTTGCTGTACTCACTCTTAAGTGATGAAAATTTCCACCTTCAATCGATTAAAGCTCTTCGACTTCGATTCAATCAGCCAGAATGTTTGGAAAAGGCTGTAATCTGCTTTGGGGGCTGCGGTTGAGGTGCGTGGGCAAATATCTTTAGACGCTTGTTTAGTTAAGAGCTAAAAATGATGCGGCTGCGGTTTTCCAACCTCGATTCCCTGAGTTTTCCCCGTGGCGGGTGGAGAAGTTCGCGGATGCATTATTCCCTCACTCATGGGGAAACAGCTGTTGCTCTTGTACAGTTTTAATGCGCTTATTTCATGGTTACCCTGCAATTTCCCCCCCAAAGCTCTTCCTTCTCGCTTTCCTGATGATTTTAACTGCCTGTGGGGGAAGTTAATGGGGGAATGTGATTAGTTTTAAGTAAGTGTCTGCTTGAAAGTGTTGAAACTAGCAGATAATTGAATACTTTCTTGGAAGAAACCTTCAGTTAAAGTTGTTTCTTTGTGAATATAACATTTAACGTTAGGTATTTATTCTCTATATTGCATTGAAACCGATTTAGTTCTTGAAATGCTCTACTTTCCCGCAGTAAATTTATTGCAGCTCGTCAGATAACCTTCAATGGCAATTGTTGCGTGCGAGTTGCCAAAAATCTTCGGCATCCTCTTGGCCATTTGGAACTGCTTTTAAGCCCTCTTTCCACTTTGCACAATGGTCTCACTTCAGTCACGGCATGTCTCTATTTTCGAGAGAAAGCGACGAGCGAAGGATGTGGCAGGAGCGAACTACATAAAAGCCGGCATTTATTTGAGGCAGCAACATAATGTTGCCACATGCAACACACTCGCACTCGCACCATCACTCCTCGCACAAAGGCACCCAGACACCCATCGTGCATTGGTGTGGGTGTGTGGGTGTGGGTGTGTGTATCTAATGCGTGGCACGTTACCGCGTTGCGCGATTCTGCGAAATACTCGTACTGCGAGATTCTCTGCTGGTTTGCTGTTTGCGGCAACTTCCTGCTGACTTCTGAGCTCCCAGCAGCGTGCCACATGATGGCGCACACACAAACGCACACGGGTCGAATACGCAATGCGACGGGGCACACACACATAGAGAACAGAGTAAATATTACGTATACGCATAGAGTGCCAGTCTTGGCATTTATTCGACTCTCGACACAAGGGCACAAAATTCAGTTTTATGAAATCTATGATTATTAACTGCACAGTACTGTTATGAACAATGCATTTCGGATCTACTCAGATTTGTTTTTAATTTAATTAGTAATTTCCTGCCAAAAGAGGTTTAAATAATTTGAATTTTTTTCTTAGCTGAAGAGTACTGCTAATATTAAACTCTGGTTATAGCTTAAACCCATAAACAAAACTAAGCGAATACATGACTTTTCCGAGTGCATTGGTTTTTCTGTCACCCTGCGATTGCAGCAGCTGAAATCATCGTACCCTCTTCTCCATTTTTTGTTCCTTTTGCTGCTTCCTCTTGGTTCTATCTGCATTTGTGCATAAATTTGCGTCATGTAAAATCATCGAAATAAAGCAAATAAATGTCATCCCATCTGAAAACGGGGCAACAGGGTTAAGGGATGTGTGTGTAGTACCAGAATTTCTCTGATTTCCCTCAGCGTTTCCTTTTTATTGATATCGATACATATACGAGTGTATATATATATATATATATATGTACCCTTTATGCTTATGATCATATCAATGCAAACGACTGTGACTCCGGCTCGGGGGTTGACTGTTATTGCGTGTCCTTCGGGTCCTGTGGGTCCTTTAAGCCGGTCAGATGTGGCATAACAAATTTGAGTACATGCTTTATGGCTGCCAGCAAGAGATTTCGGGATTGCGAGGCACTGGGACTGGGATGTGCTGCAGCTTTTCCCGGGGCGTTCGACCGGAGCTCAGCTCGGCTCAATCCTCTCGAGATTGCATTCTTCATGGCAGAGAGTCAGCAGAGAGTCAGCAAAGAGCCGGCTGACAGAGTCACACCTTTTGGCAATTGCATTCGGACACAAGCAGCTCCCTGGCTGCTTCCAACTGGCAGCAAATTGCAGCAGTCGCAGGACTACAAGGAGGACAAGGGTTTTGCATAAATCGAATTATGGTCGAGTAGGTAGGAGGGAACGTCTGCATGACTGGGATATTATGGTAAGGCGGTGCCAAGAGACCCTTGCGATTGAGAGCCGGCTGGGGCCAAACAAATTCAAATGGAAAATGGAAAATGACAGCAGCAGCAGCAGTAGAAGCAGCAGCAGAATAAGCAGCAAAGCAGCCTGACAGCCAGCAAGCGAATGGAACGCATTAGAAACAGCTCACCGGAAGCAACTACAAGATTTTCCAGAATGGGGGGACATTTTTGAGGCTCCCCTGAAACTTCCAGACGGTGCCGAAAAATCCACTTAAGCCGAGTGCTGCACATCAGGTTTACAAGCACTAGCAAAAAATCCTGTTTGTGGTAGAACCGAGTGTTTCCCTCACTGGCACAAGGTTAAAAGCAATTTAATAACCAAGAGAAAGCGTAACAGCAGGAATTTCCACGCTCAAACGAATTTATTTTTAGAGAAAAGAGAATAGTTCTTACGGCTAAGAGAACTCGTATGTAAACAAATTACTGGGAGTGAGTTGTTTTGATAACAGAACTCATTTAACTGATGAAAATATAGAGCGTTTTTTATTATTTAAAGCAATAACAGATGGCGAAAACCTGTGGTTTCAGTTACCCGCAGGAAAATGTGTTTCGAGTTTTCTCTCTGTTTTTTTAGGGACACTTTCTTGTGTATTTTTCCGAGTGCCAGTGCGAGTGTTTCGTATCCGTGCCTGTATATCACGTACATTTATCTTAGTGTCGTTTTGCCAGCACTTAAGCCGCACTAAAACACCAACACGAATGCACACACACACACACACACATTAAAATCTTTCTTGTGCTCACATACACATAACACACACACACACAATCGCAGTGGAGCCATTGCCGTTAGCCGTAATGAAACGCAATAGAACTGCTATTTTGGGGGAGATCCCTAGTCCTTGGTTCCTGGTCCTTGGTCCTTGGCACTTGGCCCCTGGCCAGAGGATGCCCAGCTTTGGGCTCATTTCACGAATGTATCTGTAAGATACGCACACACGCATCCATTGGCCGCCAATCCCAGCCAGCGTTCGGCACTTGGCACGGGCGTATATTGAATTTGTATTTATGATGTGCCCATAAAATACAATAACACCATTAAAATAGCTGCAGCAAGGCGGCAAAGTTCTGCAAATAACTAGCCGAATACCAAGTACTCTGGAGTAGGAGAACAGAAAAGATACATAGGTTTAATGTTACTAAAATCATATTTGAGGTTATAGGTTTTAGATTTTAAACTCAATAAGCTTGCTGCAATTGTAGGAGAAACTTGGTAATTTTTTACATAAATTAGTCAATCGTTTTCTTTTTTTTTACAGCATTCTTAACCCATAGAAAACATAACCCTTCGAAGGGCATTTTGCTGGCATGAGAGCATGCAAACGCATCTTATGGCTACATTTGTGTTCATTCCGCACGTTCGCCGGACGTCCTTCGAGTCCTTCGAGCAGGAACATGTAGCACACACCGTGTCCTGTGCCAGTGGCCATGTCCTGTTGCTTGCGGTTTACTATTTTATGCCATTATAGAGCCGAGTTCGGTTTGCCGTTTGGCATAAATTTATTTGGCATCGACCGCCGACGACGACGGCAGTGAACGGAAATTACCATTTTATTATTGCAGGCGAGCGCTCAACGCTCCTCCCGTCCAATCAGCCAGCCCTTCGCAACCCTTGAGAGAGCCTTATTGAATTCGCATTAAAATTGGTAACGGATATATGCAGAAACACGAACATAAAGCCACAGGCTCTGCACAGGGAGAAATTATGTATCAAAAACAAAAAGTACAACTCTGGCACATCAACTTATTTATTTCATATAAATATGTTACGAAATCCGCGTCCACGTCCCATTGAATATATAATTTTGAGGGGACTCCCAACCAATTGTTTTCCCGGTGTAAGTGCTGCAAATGCAGATACACATAAAATCCGAGAGATATATATTTATGTTTGTGTTATAACGGCCGAGGCTTAAGTTCATATATGGGAGGGCTTATGATGGGTTAAGTGGCACTTTTGCTCGGATTTCAATGGGCGGTGCGTGAAGGTGAGGGGGCTTTACGAAGTGGGCACCAGGGTTACGTCCGTTTCATTCCACACGGTCTGGTTGCAGACATCATTATCCCCCTGACCGGCTTCGCAGAACTCCTCCTCGTAATTATCCTCCTCATCGTCCTCGTCGTTGCGATCGTCCTGTCCAGGTGGAAAATCGTAGGCGGTGCGAAGGGAATCGCAGTCGGAATTGATTCCCTCGTCGAGCGGACTCAAATCCTGTTTGGAAAACTCAGGAACCTGCAGCTCGGGTTCCACTTCCTTTTCCGGTTCGGGTTCAGGCTTGGGTTTCTCTACAGGATCCTCCTCCTTTTCTTCCTCTTTCTTCTCTACCTTAATATCTTTCTGTGTTTCCTCCGGTATGGTGTTTATCTCCTCTTTGGTTTCTGGGATCAGCTCCTTCTCGCCATCGATTAGCTTGCCGGCGGGATAGAAGAAGTCCTCCAGCATGATTCGCCACTCGTTCAAATACAACTCGTAGTCCCGCTTCTCGAAGAACGCCTGCTTCTTTATGAAGGGAGTAACCTCGGTTCCCGACAGCTTCTCATATTTGCCGCCTGGCCCGAAATCATGAGCGGCACTCGAAACATCGTAGATCTCGTCGAAGAGGGCCACCAAATAGGTTTTGTCGGGTCGCTCCGAATTGTACTTGGCCAATTGGTTTCTGGTGAGGCGGAGACCGGTCAGAGGAGCCGGCAGCTTGCGGTGTCCCTCGTTCTCGTAGTCCTCGTCGTCGTAGGTTCCGTGTTGGCGGCGCGTCTTCATGTAGGCCACGTAGCCCAGGACGCAGGTGAGCGCTATTACGGCCAAGGGCGAGCTGGCCAACTCGCGCAGCTGAATGCTCCATGACTTGGTCGGCAGCGAGGACATCGTGGCTTTAACTCGATTCTGCCTTGTGGTTGTGCTTGTAGTGATAGTATGACCTACCTATGTCCCGACGATTGAGAACTGAGCGAATTGAATGGCGAGCGTTGTGATGGAATATGTAGCACCTACTGAGGCTTTTTCACTTGCCTATGAATTATGGTTAATAAGCTGCTACTTAGGTTCAATAGTTTACCTTGAATATTTTGTTCCTTTGATTATCGATTTCCATAAGTGCAGAAACCTTCTTTTATTTACACCCATTAATAAAGATTCGACAAAATACATTTGCCAAGATATCTGTTAAAAGGAGAACCATTACGAATGTTCAAGTTAATAAACAAATATTGGACCCTGGCAATCCCAGTTCTGCACATTTTAAACGTCCAACGATAATCCCAATTCAGATCCAATGAAATGAACCGAGCTTACTGGCTGCTCAAACAATCGATGTAAAGAATCCCTGCAAATGTTCAAGGATATTCGAAGCCAGGGCGGAACATCTCCTTGCCCTCCTGCTGCTGCTTGCTCAAATCCTTCGCCCGTTTCTAATTTCCAATACGTTCTTTTGTCTTTCTCCCCTGGATTCACCCCGCAGGTCTGGTGGTCCCCCCTGTCCGAGTCGGGAATGTCCGGAGGAGCCGGAGCTGGAATTGGCCGTGCATCAGTGCGTCGACTATTGTTTGATGCAGGAGCAAGTTAATCCGCAGCTTTACACGAATACCCCGGCGTATGACGTCCGTCCGGTGGGGAGCAGCACCACCCAGAGATCCCAGCTAACGGCAACCACAACAAGGACGACCTCGACCACGACCACGACCATCGCCGCAATGGAACCCTCCTCGGATTCGAGCACTTCGCCGGCCCCAACCACATCGACCACCGCATCGCCGGCGTCATCATTGCCGGCATTATTCGCAACGCAAACGAGGAGCAGATACCAAGAAGTACTTAATATGTCAGCGACCATGTTCCCGCCGATGTCCCAGCTGAAGGATCCCGCTCCCGACCAGTCCATTGGTCCATCGTCGTCAGCCGAACTGTCGGCCATGTCCATGCAGGGATTGAATTGTAAGTGACGTGATGAACCCTTCCACTTTTATCCCCCCTCCCTGCTTAACCGCCGACTGACCACAGCGTTATTATCACGGCCAGCTGGACATGCACTCAGAAAAACAAATGAGAAAAGATTAGACCAATTTAATTTATTGTAAAATCCCATCACTTATATTGAGCGGTGTGCTATTACCTCTTTACGTTGTTTTAAACAATCTCTAGTTTTTATTTTGTTCGGAAACTTAAATCTTCTTTAGAAGTGTACTATTGGAAATAGGTTCTATGTAGTTGCTCCTTTGTTCTTCCAGTCAGTTTACTTGTTGTCGACTTGCAACGCTCTTCTAGCTTCTCCCCCTGTCATTTATTGAGGTCCGCATCCCTCGTTCGTGTCCGTGTCGATGTCGATGTCCGTGTCCGTGTCCGTATCCGTGTCCGTATCCCTGTCCGTGTCCGTGCTCCTGCCCCTGTCCGTGTGTGTTTTACTTTTATTAGTTTGTTTTCCGTCTTTTGTGAGCTGCCAACTGGGAGAAGGAGCAGAAGGAACAGAAGTAGCAGCAGGAACAGGAGCAAAAGCCGAGCACAACTTGCTCCATAAAAGCCAAAGACCGAGTCGACGCTCTATGAAACTACAAAAAATAAGTATAATTCAACCTGTCGGACTGCGTGCAAGTGCGGTGGCTGGTGGTTGTCATTAAAGCCTGACGTTTTGTGTGGAGCCAAAGTTTACGGGTAAACTTTTTTCCACTCCCCCAGAAAAACTTCACACAAAAAGGCGTTTTTTTTTTCAACGTTATTAAAAGTGGGCGACGACTTGTCACCAGGTGGGGGAAAATAGACTGGCCATTGGGAGAGTAGAATGAAAATATTTTCGATTGAGATGGAAAAGAGAGTGCTTTCACTTGGGGTAATATCATGGATAAACAGTTTAGTTGTAGAAAAGAAAAGAATTTGGGATGGAAACTATTTTGAAAAGTAAAATTTGATTTGATATTAAGAAAGAGAAGACTGGTAAATAAATGTTCCAAAATTTTAAGATTTTTTATAGCACTGTGTATATGGTAGTTCTGTAAGCAATCAATCAATATCTCACTGTTTCTATCCCTTACCTTCTATTCTCCATTACTTTTATAAAAGGACAGGCATTCCCTTAATCCCAAAAGTACGAAACCTAACTCATGTCCTACTCATAAGTCATGGGCACATCAGATGTTGGCAAAACTACCCCCCTGCTCCGATTCATCTGCACAGAAGTCGGAAGAGTCCGAAAGTTTGTTAATGTCCTGGCCAGAAATCACAATGTGGGAGTTCACGAAAAAGGGCCACTACGGCAGCAGACAAAAGTGCATAACTAACTAAACATGATGGCATTACACTCGGCTGTTCACTTGACACTTGGCACAATTGGAAATTGGTCATGCATGGCCGGCGCAGGACATCGGCACAGGACATCGGGAACACAACAGGACCCAACTTGGAGTCACAATCAGAATCAGACTCTGCTCTTCTCGGGGGGGCAGTCAAGAGCTGGAAAAGTGCAAAAGCAATTTTCCTGCCTGTCTGATTATGGGGAAAACTCACTCTAACGCAGCGGGGAAAATGTTGAAAGCAGAAGCGGTTGGGAATTTCAGTAGAACATTAAACATAATTAGGACTAAGTGAGAAGTTTTGAAACTAGTGAACATGCAATCATAACTATTAAATTTAACAATTCATTTAATTCGTGTTTCTGGTAAAAACTGAAGGATATATATCTCTTTATAGTGACAGATAACAAAAGCCAGAAGAAGGCGCCTTGGAGCAGCTGGGTGCACTCGGATAATGACGACGCCACCTACTTCATGCTGCAGATGCATCCCGATCTCGCGGATCCCACGGAGCAACTGGGAATGGAGATCGAGCAGGACGCGAACGAGACGGTCACCGACATCCTGCAGAGATTCGGTCACGACTATCTGGTCAGGGGTAAGATAAACCTCACCGACATGGACGATCTGGATCTGAGGTGCGGCGGCTTGGTTCGTCGCACCAACATGTCGAACTTGGGATCCGGAGCTGTGAAATGCATGATGCAACGTTGCACTTTCACCATGAATGCCCCGGAAATCTGTCCACCCGACTACAAAGAAACCGATGAGATCATCTTTTGGGTGTACTTCCTCCTGAGGTGGGTTAACTACCTATATCCTTTATTGCTTTTCAGTTTTATTTTATTGTTTGCGCCCACTGTAATTTCCTCCTACTTTGCACAGATTTTTGGCCACCACAATGCTGTCAGCGGGAGTCACCATCATGGATCCGATTGCACTGACAATGATTGAGAAGTACGGCGGTGATTTTGGACGCGAGCGTCTGTTCTCCAGCATCGGCATGGCCATATTCTCCCCGATAACGGGCATTATGATTGATTACTCCTCGCGGGGATTGGGCTACACGGACTACTCGGCGGCCTTCTACACGTACGATGTCCTCCTCGTCATATCCACGATGTCGGTGCTGATGATGCCGCTCGGCGAGAAGCTGCCGGCGGACAATGTGTTCCGGGATCTGTGGAATCTGCTGAAGATGCCCCACGTGATTGCCTTCATCTGTTTCCTGTTTGTGCTCGGCAATTTCTGGGGCTTCATCGAGAGTTTCCTCTTCCTGTACCTCAAGGAACTGGGAGCTCCAAACTATCTCTTGGGTGAGTTTCTAAGCCATTGTATAAAGCTAATAATATTAAATACTAATTCCAATCAGGTATCACCATCACTGTGGGCACTGTAAGCAGCATTCCCTTCCTCTACGGAGCGGAGAAAATCACACGTATCTTTGGGCACGTTAACTTGATTATCATCGCGTTTTTCTCGCACGCCGGTCGATTGGTTGGCTACTCCTTCATCGAGTGAGTGCGAATGTCCACTGGTTGTGTCCACTGGTCACATGTCCACTTTCCGGCCTAATGCAATTCCAAATTGAATTTCCCCTTCCTCCGACACAGGAATGCCTGGTGGTGTTTTCCGTTCGAGGCCATGGAGTCCTTATCCTGCCATCTGATGTGGGTCGCGGCGGCCACCTACTGCTCCATTCTTGCCCCGAAAAGTTTGCTGGCCACGTTGATTGGTGTTTTGGGCATGGCCCACTTCAGTTTGGGTAAGTGCACTACAGAGGGAAACCAATATTTACTTCATTTAGTGCCATTAAAAATACATACATTTACGAATTAAAAAAGTTCTCTTAACCCAAGATTATATTATTTATGTATGTTCTATTTGCTTGCTTCTAATGAGCGCCTTTGCTTCTGATGTGTTTACCCAATTCAAGGACGCGGCAGTGGCAGCTTCACTGGAGGACTCCTCATCGGTCAGTTCGGCACTCGAGATGCCTTCCGGTACATGGGATTACTGGCGGTGGTGGGCGGCATTGCCTACGGACTACTCCATCTGATTTGGCTGCGCAAATTCGATCACACGACGGAGGAGTCCGAGGAGGAGGTGGAGGCGGCGGAGGCCGGCGAGACGGAGAAGCTCACAGAGCCCGCCACCAAGGAGCAGGGCACTTCGATGTCCTTGGAGCGGCTGAGCCTGATGATTAAGTACAATCAGATTGGCAGTCTCTCATCGCTGCCAAGAGGATCGCGGGTGAGTTTGTCTGGACTGCGAATTATGATTGCATGATGGGATTATTCTGATAAACTGATCCAACTTTTCACACTCCATTCCATATCCATCTGTCAGCTGGCTATCCTGTTATTATTTTATTAATGAACTAAATGAAATTTAACATCCTTAGGCCGATATCCATGACCATCTGTCGGTGCGTCGCAGCAGCTACAATGTAGAGTCCTTGCGAGGGGTTCCGCGGCACGGGAACATCGGCAGCGCCTCCAAGGTGGACATCCTGCGCTCGGCGCTGGAGATTAATCACAAGTCCTCGAACAATTCGATGCTGAGCAAGGCCGATAACAAGACGTCGAATCAATCATTGGGCCGCAATCGGGCCGACAGTGCCCCGAAATTGAATCACAGCAATCTGAAGAACATCTCGCAGCCAGCTTTGGAGGGCGTGGTCCTGGAGGTGAGTGAATCCCTACTTAAGGGCCCTTTCCTCGTCCCCTGTGTGCGTGACTGAGTGTGCGTGAGTGTGTGTGTGTGTATACCCCGCTGATTGCTGTCAATTGTTTTGATTTCTGTTTTTTTTCTGCTGCTTTTCTGCCACGCGAACCTTCGCTTGGTCGTATGTTTGGCTTTTAAATACCCAACATCTGTCGCCACAATAACTTTTTAGCATACTGCCGCGTGTCCTTTCTGCCCTGCTGTATCCTGTTTCTGGTTTTTGCCTTGACAACCGGAAGCCGGGGCCAACTGCATCCGCTTCGGCTTCGATTTGCGGAACAACACACTCTAAAAAAAAGTTATTTTCAAGAGATAGTAACCAAAAAAAAAATAAATAAATACTAAATAATATTTTCCAGAGATTATAAATAGACTATTTATTGGTATTTATATTTTATTTAAGTGTCATTCATTACTTTTTTCGAGTGTATCCTTGTTAGGTGGAAAGTTGAGCTTTGAAGGGGCGGTTGTTTTGTGTGTTTGGCATTTGGTTGCCTTTGTCGAGCGGTCGTTTCTTTTGATGCCGCTCCAGTGGATTCGATTTCTCTCCGCCTTTCCATGCTGCTCCTCTAGTTTTCCCGATGCCGAGCAGCTCGAATTCGAGCCGGCTTTATTGGTTTTTGTGTTTTGCAGGCAAGCATATTCGCCGCCGGCCACAGTTTTTGCCAATTTAAATTCCGAGCAGAGAAAACTTTCGAAATCCCCAGCAATGTTCAGGGTTTTAAGGTGAAAATCGCATTAGGCAGCTACTTTTAGGGGACGTTTATAGAACAACAAGCACTTTGAATCAATTATACTTGACAAGAATTTGAATGCAATTTGAATGCCCAAATCAGGGGATTGCCAATCAGCTAACCGTGAAAAACCAGAAAACTTTTTCTTTACAAAAATAAAATAATTTATAACTTACTTTTATAAATTCGGTTCTCGAACACATCCTTTTCTTCATATTTTTGGATACCTATCTTTAGAAATTTTTAATAATTTATTGCGTTGCCATTGGCAACTGCAAACTGCAATTACACTCGAACAAACAGTTCGTTTCGGCCCATCATTTAATTAAAAACTTTTCCAAGATACATGTCCGGCAATTGTTTTCCCCCTCGTATCCCTCTCAATCCGATCCAGCTGCACTCTCAAAGCGGCTTGTCAAAGTTAATTTCGTAATTAATTTTCAATGCTCGGAGGCGAGGCTTTTATGGCAACTGGGCAACCATAATTCAATAAATCAAATGCTGCTGCAGCCAAGGAAACTGGAGGGAGAACTGGAGAGCACAACAAATTAATGAATTTATGAACAAGACAAAGTTTACCCCTGGCATTTGCTCTTTCGCCTTCTGCAAAAAACATTTCGATGCGAAACCAACCGAACTGACAGTTTTGCCTCCACACATCACCGGCCAGTGAAATAAAACAAAAACAGACTCGAACTCTGAGGGACCGGGGCTCCACTACAGTATTTTTTGCCAAAGGAGCAGCATTCCCAGCGGGGAGTTGATATTTAGTACACAAATAAAAATTATCTGAATAACTATTTATTAATTATAAATTTTATAGATTTCATTTTAAAGATAATAGGTTTAAAAAAACAACGGAAGGATTTTTGACAATGAAAATGTTAACTACAAAATGCTTAATTGCTTTTGATCTTAAAATTCATCTAATATTTATAATCTGATTGTTATGAGTATTATTATTTAATATCTTTTATTCCTTAAATATATATCTCTGTTGTTCTCTGTGTGAATTGCAAATTGCAGGCCAGTCGGGCTGCAGAATCCCAAACCATGACCAAAACTTCGCTTTGTGCAAAATAAATTTGGCAAAACCAGAGAGAGCTGAGAGCTTTCTATTCGATATTCGTGTGTGTGAGAAAGTCGATGGGTGTGTGTGTGTATCTGTGTGAGTGCATCTCCCCTTACTATATGTGCGGATAATATATGCTATAGCCGAAATTGCCATTCGCATACAAACAGGGCGTGGAATCAACATTTTTTCCCAGCCGCATGAAAAAGTATCCAAGTGGTTTGTTAACTTCAATACCCGCTGTGGATTTATCCGTAATACCCAGCTCCATGTTAATGGTAATGTACAAGAATCCAACAAAAAAACAAAAACGCAAAGTAAAAGCCAAAATAGTCGAAATAAAATAAAGTGAAGGCATGCAGAATCGAATGCGGAATTACCCTTTGCAAAAGATTAAATGTAACTAATATTATATATAATAAGTTTAATAGCTTCTTAAGATAAATAACAGACTGTTTAATGCACCTTGCTTACTCTAAGTTATATCTATGTATCCCACCATAAGGACCTCTTCTGCAACTCTAATAACTAAGTGGCTTAAATTGATGGAACCCCATAGTTCATTTCCCCTTTTAAATCAGATTATTGTCAAAGTTTTGTAGACAATCCATGCGACCCTCCTGCAAAGGGTAGTGCGGCACACAAACATATGTAACTGCAACTGCACGGCATGTCCTGGGTCCCGGATCCTGGGTCCTGGATCCTTCTGGCAGCGCTTGTTCTGGGTTGCAAGCGCCCGAAGCCCGAAAGCATGCAGCACTGAATGCGAATAAACAGAGGCCAATGGCAGTGGCACAAGCAACTGAAGCAGCAGCATCATTCGCCAAGATATTGCACGTTACACTCAGACAAAATAGGCATATAATATAATAAATTCTAAAGTTAAATCTAAACAAAAAAAGAAATCCCCAGACAATCGACAACCAACTTAATCATATTTAATTGTCTAAGAAGTTGCAATAACTTTATTACAATTATTCAACTCCAAAGTTTTCTCTCTGTGGAAAATGCAGTGGCATGTACATCTGACATTGCCGCTGCAGCTTTTGTTGGTTGCTTTTTTCGGGGGGTGGTGGGTGGAAAATGGGGCAGGCGGAGGAAGAGCAGGAGAACGCGGTGGTTCTGCCGTCGCAGTTTGCCAAGCCATCCGGGCATTAAGTTATTTCGTTGAATTAAAGCCCGCACTTGCGCCATTTGACTTTTGGGCATCACTTGTTTTTATGTGCATAACCCACAAACCACTCCGAGCCCCTCTGCCCCCTCAGCCCTCCTTAACCCCCTGAAGGCCCCGCCACTGTGGAGTTTCCTTGCTGAACGCTTAGTTGGGTTTAGTTTAATTTTGCACACTCGTCGAGCAATTTGAGCCTGAATCCTCACATCACCTCGCAGGCCATTTGCCATTTGTTTTGCCCTCCTTTAAAGTTTTGTATTTCAGTTATGGAAGGGGGTCGCCTGAAAAATGTCCCTGTTTCTATTGTTACGTGCTTTTTTCGTTCGCTTTGATTTTGTTTACGCTTTACGCCAAATGATTTGTTGTTGAACTTAATACAAGTTGACAAAAAGGAATAACAATGGCAGCTGTTGCAAAAAGCAACAATGTTTGTTTTTTCCCCAGGAAGGAGGAGGTGTTTTTTGTTTTGGGGCGGGGGTGGCAGGTAGCTGAGGGGGTGGGGGGGAGTGCAAAAGAACAACAATGCCGTAGAATAAACAAACAAGGCGAACCAAGGCGAAAAGGCAACGTCTGTTCGAATGTGGCAAGTGATTCCAAACTTTACAATCCACTGTGGTTACAAACTTCAAGGAACTTTCATAGTAGTTTAAACAAAGGGAAAGAAAAATAGGAATACCCATTATAAAAAATGTTATTTATTATTTATTTTCATTCTTCCATTAGTGCCCTTTATGAACTCATTACCAATTTTCAGTTTTCTTAGCCTTCTTACCAAGGTTTCTGGCAACAGAGAGGAATCCCAATCGAATGCTCAATATTTTAGCATTGCCAACGCGCATCTATGTGTGTGTGTGTATTTTTGCTTATACATATGTGTTTCCACTTCCTTCGGCGATTTCCGGCTTGTTCTCTCTTCTTCTTCACATGCCGTTTTCTAGCTACGAAAATTCCCATTTTCCTCCACACACACATACACAGACTCACATAAACGTAGAATTTTCTGTTGCCTCCACTTTTGTGATGGCATTATTTTTATTTCCTTTTCCTTGAAAGCCATTTATCGATGTGTGTGGGGCAGGACTGCAGCAAAAAATAGAAATATTTATGGGAATGATCGCTGAATGAATGCCACGTAATTCGGCGCTCTTGGCAACATTTGTCATTGTTGATTTTGGCCAGAAACGACTTTATAGCGCTCTATACGTAGCGAGTATACGTAGCTCGTCCGTCGAGGCCAATAACTTCTTCAGCATAACGCACAAAAAGTGAACGCGAAATTGCGCGTAAGTAATGCCCATTGTAACTGACTTCAAAGGACAGAGGCGGGGAGAAAGGGGCAGAAATAGGGGGTTTTAAAAATATATAAGGAAGGACCAGCTCGAAGCCAAACAAAGGAATGGAAACAAAAGCAGCGCAAAATGAACTGAACAGGAACATTATAAAATTCTTACCCCTCTTTTTCTAGGTACACATAAATGGAAAACTTTAGAGGAAGGTTTCTGAGAAATTCCATTAAATGCAGACCCTTAATATATCTATAAATATTAGTACCTGGTAAAACAAATTTAAAATATTTATAATTGGAAAGCTTATTTCCATTTTACATTACCTTTTTGAGAACAGTTTTTTGACCGTGCATGCTGTTATTTTCCACCCATTTCCTTTGAGTTTTCCCCTCGCTCCCCACCACACATGGCACTTAAGATGCGCATTTCTATACAGAGGTGCAGCTGTTTGTGTGTGCGTGAGTTTGCTGGAAAACTTTGTGCATTCAGCTGCAAGGCCGGTGCATTTTCCGCCCACCCCATCCAGCAGCCACACCAACACTTTTTTAATAAAAAGCCAAACAACGAGCAAACTACGCTCGATGCATGGCGAATTATCCAAAAAGTTTGATGACGCGGAAATGCCTTTCGACAATAAACCAACAAAACAAAACAAAAAACGAAAAGAAAAACACCAACCAGTTCCGATGCAACTGCTGCAGTTTATTCGGTTATTCGTGCATATGCGAAGCGAACTCAGCCGGAATGCTTATGGATTCGAAAAGTGAGGGGGCGAATAATAAAAACATGATTTGAAATTCAAATAGGGATCGAAGGACCATTGAGAAATACATTCCGAAGGGAAAACCCCGCAAGGAATAATTAGGGAACAGCTTAAACGGTTAAATAGCAGTTGTGAAGGAAATCTATTCAAGAAACTGATTATAAACAAATAAATAAATTTATCTGTGATTGTAGTCATCAAAGAATAGGTACTATTTTGGTTTCCATAATTTCAGGAAAGCTTAATTTAAAGTCAAACAGCCAAACAGCAAACACGTTCATTACGAGCGACCCATATGAGCAGAACCCCCTTGAAACCATCGAACTACAACTACATTAAATACAATTTATCGGCCACTTAAATTTCATGTTCAAACTCAAATTAGCATGCATGTTGATTATACTTTCCCGCATGTGCAGGAAAACCTATTGAGAGCGCAAAGGGAAAAACCAAAAGCAAGTTGAGTGAGTAAATTGTAAATAGCACTCTAACACAGCACAACACTCTGAACGCCGCAATTTGGGATGGTTTTTATCCGCTTCTTACTACCTTTTTTTTGGGTTTTATTATGTTCGGAATTGGATGGTTAATTTTTATGCTCGTTATGAAATCGGTTTTTGCATGCATTTTACCTTTTTAATTGCTAATTGCATGTGCGTGAATAATGAAACGAAGCACTGAAATTGTGTGGTTGTATATGCACTTAAATACAGCACAACTTTAATACAGCGAACTTGGTTATGCATAATTTATACTACAGCATTATTTATTATTGAAATTATCAAGTAACGAATAAAGGAGCTTCTTGGCATGAACTTAATCTTGTATTTCAGCACTTTAGCCTTTGGTATGCCAAAATCTTTAAGTGGTTATTATAAAATTAATCCCTTACCTTTTCCACTTTACCTTTTTATGGCTTCCTAGGATCAGGAGGGTCGCAAGGTCATTCCTGAGGAGACGGAGCTGCACGCCTCGAAGACCACCGTGAATTTGGGGGAGGAGAAGGCGGAGTCGCCGCCTCCTCAGCAGCAACAAAAAGCAAATGGAAATGGGAAAAGTCCTCCCCAGCAGCAGCAGCAGCAGCAGGAGGATAAAAAATCGGATGCCACTTGATGGACTGCCAACCCAATTCGCTGACCTGCCACACGTGGCGTATGAGTGATATTAATAAACCAAAAGTGAATGGAACGAAGAGAAAATCAAATTGATAAACGAAAACTATTGTTTAGTTGTACATGTGTGTGTTATGTTATATAAATGTATATGTCTTTGTATAAATTATGCAAAAAGCGAAAACTGAATAAACAAAAACTGTTGAAAAGACCGGCAAACATTTCTGGTAATTGTTATTCCATTCAAATTGAATTCAAGCCATTTCACGTTTCGCTGGATTTTCCACTTTATTTTGCTGATCGGCTTAAAAATTAAACTGTAATTGCCCAAAATGCCAAGTGTTCTGTCATAGGTTAAGTTGCTATTAATTTTATTTCATCTTCATTGAAATGAAAGTAATGCATTTGCTTTGCTCTCTTTGTGTCTGTGTTTTTCTCCTTAGGCTAAGGCTCCCCATTAATTTTATATTATTTGCATTTCATTTGTGGCTTTTCGATTCGGCCTGCCTCGGTTTATCGTTATTTATTACTTAATATAGCGCTTTAATTACAATCTCGTTTTTCTTTGCATATCAAATTGCACGAAAATCTATTATTGATGCAAAAAATGTATGCATCAAGTCTCAATTTATTTCACTTATTTGCCTTACGTTTTTTTTGTGATTTTTTTTTCGGTTTTTATTTTAATGGATTTGAATTGCAGTTGAGTTCAACATCAACATCGACCTCTTGCAATTCGATCAGTATTAATGTTTACATATCAACAGCAATATGCTAAATGTGGCCAGCACACACCACACATTCATTTATGGAAATGATTTCAAAATAAATATTATTTATGCACAAAAAACATATTAACTTTTGTGGCTAGAGTTTTAATTTATGCTAATTATTTTTCACTAACAACTTTCGACTGCGGTCGAACATTCGAACAATCGAGCATTTGGGGCAAGCAGCAGCAATAATCTCTGATATCTGCCCCGACCAAATTCAATTTAAATCACCCATTCCCAGTAAATTTGATTGGTAAGGCAAAATTAATTAAAACTAAACTAAACTGCATTTCCGGAAATTAGTTGATAAAATTCCAAAATTTGCGACATTCAATTGAATTTATTTCGTCGCAACACAATAGAATCCCGTGCTCTCTTCATTATTATTTAACTAATTGCAAACATTTGCAAATGAAAATGCGGTGAGAAGCATGCTTTATTAAATGCTATCAAATTCTATTTCTGTTGCTCATTAGAGTGTTATATATTTTTGGCCTGGCGAACATAATTAGTTTCGGCTCTCTTTGATGTCGGGGCAAAGTTCTGTGTATCCCAAGGATAACTTAAACTAATTAAAATTACTGAGCAACCGAGCATTTTGCTCTTGGCCAGGCAAATCATTTAATCTGCTTGAAATGTCCATATGCAAATGCGCACCTATAAACCCAACTTTCGGGCTGGGCATTTGCATAGCAAATTGATGGGGGTTTTATGGCCACAATTAGCCAAGAGCCAGCCATATCTGCGTCTTCGGGCCAAACATAAAACAATTCCACATGAGAAAACCAACATAAATTTATGTTTTCTCCAACAAATGCGCAAAATTCATATACTAAGGCAATCGGGATGAGAAAAGCGGACTTAGTTCAAGTTGCACATTAAACATTTACATAATTCTTGATGATCTCCCTTGCTGCGCTGTGTTTTATAATCAAACATTATCCTTTCCGTATCAGTGTGCTTGTGTGTGCTCAGCCAAAATAAACCCCGATAAACAAGTATGCTAAGCCTAGTTATGCCAGAGATACATGTATTAACCATACATATTTGTGTTTGCATTAGCCGGATTCATAATTGTAAAGTTAATTCACACACGTCTTTAGTTTATTATTATCGAATACTGTTCAATATTTGAAATATTCAACGAGTAGCATCAGAGATAATTACACAATCACCCGAACCCAACCCACCAGCCCACTCCACTCACTCCTCCTTGTGTGGGGTGAACTTGACTAGCCATCCGTCGCTTCCGCTGCCGCTGCCAGCCAGGTCTCACTGTATCAACGGCGAGTGCTGTGAGTTCTCGCTAAAGTCCACCGTGTAGTACATGTCGTTCTCGAGGTTCATGGCCAGGTGCCGCTGGAAGGGTCGCTCCTGCAGCTGCCCGCCCAGCGTGGTCTGCGTGGTCTGCGTCTGGGGTTGTCCTGGCAGGTGGCGAGTGCCCTGCTGCGCTCCCCCTCCCACTCCCCCTCCCGATGACCCCGCTCCGCCCCTCGGTCCACCCGCGGGCGCCACATTGTTGCCACCGCCAGCCGCGGCCGCTCCCTTGCCACTCAGCCAGTGTTTATTGAGCTTGCCCTGCATTTTCGGCCGGCGACTGAAGCCCAGGATGGGTATGAACGACGTGGAACGTGTCGAGAATTTCCGATACGTCTGATTGACCTTGCAGTGGCAAATGGTGACCTGCAATGGAGGTAAGTGTGCACGAGGGTTAGGTAAATGGTTATGGATTGGCTCGTAATACTGGAGGGAGTTAGGGATACGTGGCTATAAAACTAAATTTAAGATTCTATACATATTAACTAAACTTTAACGGGAATGCAAAAATTAAAGAAGACTGTAGTGGGCACTTATCCCTTAAGATATGGTGAAACTTTTCCCACTCAATAACCCGACTTAAACTTTCGACATTAACCTGTCCAATACAGGACTTTATAAGTTTTGCATTAATTTGGCAAGGGCTTCCAATAAATTGGCATGGACTCCGCTCTCCACTTGAAGGAGCACACATTGTGAGCGGACACCAATTGTATAAATTTGCATCCACTTTAAGCCACGGGTCGAGGCGATTGGGCTTTTGGTTAAAGCCTCTCGCTCGAACCATTTTGCCAACATCGAAATGAATATGCAATGCCATTGCGCGTACTTTGCATAACCGCAGAGTACAATTTCCCCCGTTCGGTCGGTTGGTCGGTTGGTTGGTTGGTTGGATGGTTGGTTGGTGGCAACTTGTACGGATACTCCAGGATTTTCGGTGCTTTTCGGGGTGGTTCGGGGCTGTTCGGGGCAACTTACCACAACGGCAACGATGAAAATGGCGGCTGCCAGGACTCCGGCCGCAAAATATGCATTATGCAATTCAATGGGACTCTTAAGCACAACCGATGAACCGAAAGTTTTGTCATTAAAATTTCTAGCGTTCGCATCGTCCACAATAAATTCGCTGGAACTAACGACCGTCTCCACCACGAACTCATCTGCGGAAAGGCCGGAAAAGAAGGAGCGGGCGAAAAAAAGTTAGATAGCCGCCGAGGGAAACATATTTTCCCCGGGCCGTGCTGATGGCCCTAATCAAGTAAATGACTTTCGGGGACCGGAGCGCCCCCGGGCAACTCACCTTCGCACATGGTTCCTGTGTAGCCGGGACGGCAGGCGCAGTAGAAGCTATCGCCGCTGGACCAACAAGTGCCGCCATGGGTGCACGGGTTCACGTTGCATTGCTGGAAGTACTGAAAGTTATGAACGCAATGGTGAATGAGTGGCGGCGTGCGTGGGGAATCCCCTGGCAAAAAGTGCACAACGAAAAAATAGTGCCTTTGGTTATCGCTCATTTCAATTAATGGTACTTTCAATTAATGGTACTCACTTACTCTGTTATAAAAATTTAAAAGTACTATAAGCAAAAACATTATCAAATACTCTTGCTGCAAGCTACACCCTCTTGAATGTTGGATAATAAACCATAAGCAACGATTTCCATTCTTAAATTCCCAAGCATTATTTTTGTAGCACACTTTTGTGCGCCCCAAATGGAGAGGAGCATTCTCCGTATTATATCTGTGCCCCACGGAGCTCGCTATCATCTAACCACACCCAACTAACAATTAGAATGGAGGAGCTGCCTCCATTCTTCCACTTTCTGTGTGTGTGTGCCTGGCATGTAGAATGTAATTAATTTTGCTGCCTTCCCCAACAGGAGCCACGAGCCACTGGCAGCCGCAATTTCCAGCCGCGGTCTGCTCCTGCCACGCCCCCTCAACGCCACCACCTCCCTGACCCCCTGACCCCCCACTCTTCTTATCACCCCCTGTATAATGACAGTGTTCTGCGGATCCTTGGAGGTCCTTGGAGCAGTCGCGGTTAGTCAGCGTGTCCATCATTTTCACAAAGCTTTAATTATGGCGCCTGGCCGCTTAATTTATGTACATTTTGTTAAGTTTTATTTTAGCACCACAAATTATCAAGTCCATTGAGCGTTTATTAAATTCTTTTCGAGTTAGGTCTCCCGCAAGTGGGGCTAACTCAATTTATGAACTAACTTGGCCTGAATAGGAATTGATTAGGAAGGGCAAACAAGCGGAAGGCATCTACACGGAATATCAATTTCAGTGAGAGGCAAACACGGACTTTTCATTAGAGGCCGACACGCCGAGCTCGTAAATCAGTTTAAAAATGCACAGCAGCAGCCGTGCAAACAATTGTGTATGCAATTTCGCAGCAGTTAGCCAGAAAATTTGGCTACAATTATGGCATTGCGCTGGCATTTTTGCGACTTCTGGCGAAGAAAAGAACCGAAAACCGAAACAGAAAAGCGAAAAAGCGAAACCAAAGCAGAACTGCATAAATCATGACTTACCGTTCGTGGCATTTGATTACAATCCGGTCCGTTGCGACCTCCTGGGCATTCGCAGCTGAAATCATTTCCATGATCAATACAGCGATGTCCTTCGGGGCAAGGCTTGTTGGCGCAGAAATCAACCTAGAAAACACAACACAGAGCACTGAGAACGGGCACAAATCAAAGCATATTGTGGCAGAGTAGAAAGAGTCGAATGAGGAGCAGCCGGGCTGGAACTTCATTACGTATTCAAAAATGTATTTGCCCAGCATTCGTATCCCAAGGATACTCTGCCCCACACCCACACATACACACCCAATCCCATTTCCCATGCCTGTGTGCGCGATTCTCGGTCTGAGCAAATTAAATCAATATCCATTCAAGTTCCGCAGACAACTGCCGGCTGGCTGGAGTCCTTGCACTTTCCCATCGGGGAATTGTCGCGGGATTTGTTTTCAATACAAGATATTGATTATCTCGGGGAGCCCGAATCAACTAATGGGCACTCTTGGGGCTTCTTTTTCATTGCAGATTTATAAGTCTTGTGTTCACACTTCGCGTGGGTTGTTTAGCAAGCATCTTAAGTGCTCCGCATGTTAGGGGCCAAACATGTTTTTGAAGTAAATAGAAAACTTTGAATTTAATAACCGGAACACAAACAATTGAAGGTATGTATGTGGAATCGGAAAAACTTGGAAAAATCTGACATGAACAGGGGTCAAAATATCGACCGTCTGATTACTAAGATTTAGAGGTGTGCCACTTTAAAATTGGGCTAAAATTACCAAAGTAAAGGGACGTGGACCTCTAGAAGTAGGTCTCCTATTGGCAAAACATCGGAAAACTTGGAAAAGTAAGTTAGTTATTGGCCCTGGTATTCCAGTATTATGCCAATATTCTAATTTTCGTTTAATTTTGTAACTTATTTCTCGTTCCGTAGTTTATGTATAGCATTTACACATTCCTTTTATTATTTTGTCAGCTCAATGATTTTTGTAAGGCATCCCCAAGTTCGGTGCGAGCAAAGTGAGCGTCAAGTGGGAGTTCTGGCATTTTTTACTCACCTTAATTTGGCAACGGTTGCCGCTGTAGCCCTTCGTGCAGCGACACTCGTAGCTGCCAATGTGATCGATGCACTCGCCGCCATTCTGACACGGATTCGATTCGCATTCATTATACTCGAAGTTGCACAGCTCGCCGGCGAATCCTGCGAGACAGGAATGCAGAAGGAAACAAAAATATAAAAAAAAAGAAAAGAAGGGGGGAGGTTGAAAAGGTTGTGGGTAATGTAAATGTGCAAAGTAAATGAAATGGAAATTTCAATGGGAAGTGGGAAATGCTCCTCTGGCTGGGCGACAGACTGAGACTGAGACGCTTCTGTCTCGACTTCCAGGAATTGCCCTCGTCCCTGTCTCAGTGATTTTTTCCTACATTTACTTTCATTGTGATTGGGTGCGATTTATGCAAATTGTGTTTGTGCCAATGAAATAATTTATGAGCTGCGATGTAGATTTTTGATTTGCGCAGATTTCAATTCGATTGCCAAAGCGAAATTTGATTGCCTCAAAGCACGTGGATTTTTGTCGGTGAGAAAAAGGAAATCCATCTTGCGTCACCCTCAAAATTGAATTTACCCGTTGAACATTAATAGGTACTTATAAAATAAAATAAATATATTTTGTATGAAAAGAAAATTTTTTTGTGTGAAACTAATATTTAACATTTCTATTGTAAGCTAATACCTTCAGTGGCCAACCACCTAAGCCAAAGCTATTACCAATACAAGTTACAAGCCAAAAAATGCAATATAAAATAGATCAGGCAGAAAGCCAACAATCGCTGTGTGAAATTTGCACGATGATAACTTAGAAAATATTGGCATTATGGGAGCGATTTCGCCGGCGAATCAACAAAAGAATGAAGGCAATTTGCGTTTATTTGGCTGGAACTGCTGGCCGCATTTACTCACCTGGCTGGCAGAAGCATCGGAAGCCGTCCTCCTGGTCCACGCAGATGCCGTGCACACACGGCGAGGACTCGCACTCGTTCAGGCTGTGCTGGCACAGAGGTCCTGTGAACCCGGGCGCACAGTCGCACCTGCAGAGGCGGCGAACAAAGGGAGGTTAATACGGCAGAGAGTTGCAAAAAAAAAAAAAAAGAAAAGTAGCACAAAACATCACTGAATCGGAGGGAAAATGGTAAAACGGAGCAATTTCTGAACATGCGACAAAAGTCAACATTTATGAGCAAACACAGACGGCGGCGGCTAGACAGAACCGCAGAACAATGGCCGGGATAATTGAATGAAAGCTGCCTCTGGTGCTCCTCCGACCGAATGTGTGCCCTGCACTTAGATCAAATGGGCTACAGTTTATGAAGTCACTTTATGCATAAAGTTATTATCGGTTGGAAAAAAATGTAATGGCCCCTGAATATTTTATAACTTGTTCTACAGTAGTAACCATAAAGAAGGTATGGTATGTATAAATAAAGGTTATATTTTATTAGCAGTCATAAAATTGTCTAATCTTAGGCCTGTCATTATGTAGGTATTATTATGTATTATATTTTAAGTGCAATAAATTCAAAGTAATTTTTATCTTTAAAACAACTTCTATCTACTGGTAATTTTTTGCGAGTGCATCTAAGCCTCTTCTCTTCTCTTTTTCTGCCTTTTCTGGCCATCTTTTCATCTTTTGTTTGCCTGCGACTCACCGAAAATGCGTGGAGTTGCCCACGCAGCTGCCGCCGTTCATGCACTCGGCGGGATTGCAGGGATCCGACTCGTATTGGCAGTTCTTTCCCGCATATCCTGCGAAGATAGAGTGGAGGGATAGTGGTACATAAATAGCATTATCGCAGAACGGGGGGACTAATGAGGCTGGGAGGCAGTGACCCTACCGTACGGACAGAGGCACTGGTACGAGTTGCCCTCGTGCCCCTGGGAGAGGTCCACGCAGATGCCGTTGTTGGTGCAAGGACTCGGGTTGCACGCATCGATCTCCTCGCAGTGCGGTCCTGCGAATCCGCTGCAGCACTGGCACTCGAACTCCTCCATCCCGGAATTCGAGTAGCAGACTCCCTTGCCGGAACAGTCCGCGTTATCGCCGCAATTGTCCGTTTTGGTGGTCACCTTCAGGCGCACACACTGCGCTCCCCACAACTCGGACACCACTGGAGGGCAGGACGGAAACAAAAAAGAAAAAAAGGGTTCCGTATTAATTAAGGCTACACGACGACTCTGGGGAGGGGATGCGGAAAAAATTCCTTTAATAGGCCAAAGGGGAACCACAAACAGGGGAAAATGGCTCCCGAAGGCCGTCTTCCCTGACAAGAGATGCCATTGATACCGACTAAATGAAGATGGAATACCCTCGCTGGGCAACTGAGGAGCCTATCACCAGGTGGTGATAGCTCTTCAGGGAACATTTCACCTAGGCAGTTATGAAAACAAATCTAGGAGAAGATAAGAATAAGCCTCTGAGCCTGGTAACAGATATATCTTAAGTGCTTAAGCCAAAAATAAAAAAGAATATTTATTGAAGGTTTTGAAAGAAACTTGGTTTGAAAAAGAATGCCAAAAAAAAGTTATATTGTCTTCGAATGTCATAACATTTATTTTGTTTATTTATTTACTTATTCAGATAAAAGATTTGAAATTGTTTTTTTATTTACTTTTTTAGATAAAAGATTTTAAAATTCAAACTGAGTGATACAAGCATACACTTCTATCCACTGACTAACGTTTTGGAATTAACTATGAAAACAAGGGTTTCCCTTATTGGATAACAGATTTGAAAACCAAAAAATGTTCCTTGCTTTAGTTAAAATCTTAAAAATGTACAGAAAACCAACCGGTCTAATTAGAGCTGCTCTTTATCGACGAGCTAGCCGGATGTTACGGCCACGAAAACCACGCCAACCGCAAAGTTGGCACAGCCCAAAGGAGGAAGGAGTGGGGTAGTGAGAGGGGGTGGGGGTCTACTCACCAATTAGCAAGTTAACTCCCTCGGTGAGGTCCTTATCGTACAGGGTAACCAGCTTCCTGCCGTCGACCACCAGCGGCGTGATATCCAGCAGGACGCCCTCGGTGACGTCGCAGTGTTCGTGGCCGGAACGAGTCACCTGATACACCTGTGTGGCATGTACCGCGCTGCTCGTTGACGTTTATTGGGCCAGATTCCGGCATCCAGAATACGGAATCCAGGTGAGAGTGGAGCGGAAAAAATAGACACAAACATGCAGGATGAGCGGTGGAGTTAGGTGGCAGCCACGTCAAATGTCGTCTGTTTGCCTAACTTGTTTAACTTATAAATATGACCGAAGACGGCGGCGGAGCAAATACGTTCTAAGTCCTTATTTGCGTCTATGTGCTTAATTAATTGAAATTTATTTATAAGCAGTTGCTCTCTCGCTTGTGCGCTAGCGGAAATTAAATAGCACGAAAACGGAAATGAAATTAGTCGGAGCAGGGCGGCTGCCTCGGCAAAAGGGTTTTAGTCGGAGGATTCTAGAGTCGGAGGATTTCCTTCTAATTTCCCTGTTGCCAGGCGGTTATTGCGGTTGCCTTCTGCGGGCTTTCAGTAAATAAGAAGTTATTAATGGAGTGCAGATAGGTGAGCAAAAGTTGTTTTTTAAATTTCAAGCCAGCAGCGCTTATTAATATACTTTATATGCATTACTTTCTCTCGGATTTTCTACATGATAAAAAATAATAGAAATAGAAAGTTGTGTTCCCACTTTTGTTCGTATGAAGCTTTGTTACTCAACTTTGCACTCCTCGGAAACATTTTCTATATCTCCAGTAGCAAACATAGACACAAACTGGCAAGACACCTCATAGAGTTACCAAGTTTGCAGTTTTTCAACCACACGTATACGATTTGGTGGGGAAAATACGGCAGGGAAAACTTGTTAGAAAACTGCGGCCCCGCAAAGTTTTCACTACCGCCAGCTTCGCCAATCTATTTGCTACCCACTACGTTTTCCTGGCTTCACCGTTCCATTATTATTTGTTGCTATTGCATTTGTTAACTTGGCTACACACACACACACACACACATACTACCTCATACGTACATATTAAATCGATAATAAAAACTTTTTGACATCTCATTTTCATAGTTGGCGGGAAGTTTCCTCTGCGGGCTCGGCGCTCAATTGTGCGCTATACTCCGCATCACTTTCACTCCCCAACTAACTCGATTGTTTGCGGTCTTATTTTGCCCGAGGAAAGTTGCGAAATCGGAACTTATGCCAGGCATTTCGAGTTGCCAAAGCCGCGGGCTGAATAAGAATGAAAAAAAGAAATGCGAGTATACGGAAAAGGCGGAAAATTTCCAGCGCGGTCGCGTTTGATGTCTGCCCCAAAGTTCGACAAATGAATTTTAATTTTTCTTTCGCTGCGCTCCTTCCTTTTGGGGGTGAAAAACGGGAAAAACTTTGTGATGGGTGGCGGCGGCATCTATCAAGCGATAAGATAAGAGCCAGCCGAGCAACCGGGCTAAATTAAAAAGAGCAAAAAATGTGTGCGGCAGCCGGGTAGCCGGGGCAGAAATGATAGCAAAAACCGAGGGAAACGTGATAATTGCCATGGCAAAAAGGGTCAGCCAGCTGTGGTGTGTGTACGTCCCGCCCAAATGACTAATGGTCAACAACTAGGACTACACGCAGACAAAAAAATACCAATCAAAACTGCATTATCTAACTATGTTTTACACGAACATAGGAGTTCCTTTAAGCTTTAAGAATAAATTGCATGTATAAAACAAAGAAATTGTATTCAGGTGATTAACACATTACAAAATAATCATATAAATTTCTAAGATTTTTTCGCTGTGCTCTGAAAACTGTTTGGCATCAAATTTATATGCGCAGTTTGTAGGAGAGTCGTGAAACAAACAAAACCGAAATAAAAATTTGTGAACAGAAATAAAGGAAAGGGTCAACAAGGAGACTTGGACTGCGACAGTTAAGTAAGAGAAAACAATTTAATAAACTGTAAAAAGGGCATGATAATGGCAATACGTGTCTGGGACCAACAACTATTCCCTCTAACTCCTTTAGCTCCTCGACGCAGGCAGACGTGCTGAAGAAAAATCAATAAAGGTCCTTAATGGACGTTATTATATAATAAGCCCCCGAACAAACACGTTTCACTGCGCATTAAAGCGCTTAACTGGAAATAAAAACAAAAAAACAGAAATGCTCAACCAAACGCCCACAACCTGCCAACTAGGTGTAAAAATAAAGAAGTGATTTTATTCTTTTTTTCGGGGTAAGTTCAGAGGACTCCCCCGTTTTTCTAGTAAGCTCAGGTGTTTGCTGAAAGGGTCGCAACATGATGAGCTCAATGATGAGGCAGCAGTTGCTGCTAGTAAGTGTTGCTGCTTTTGTTGCTGTTGCTGCTGTTGATGTTGCTGTTGCTGCTGTTGATGTTGCTGTCGTGACGTGGATGTTGCTGTCGTTCTATTGCCACTGCTATTGCTGCTGTGGCCATGGCTGCTGTTGATGATGTTGCTGATGGCTCATAATGACAGTTTTTCCGGGGACCCCAGTCACTTGCTTTGATCAACTACATACATCACTGCCAGCAGTCAGGTTGACTTACTGCGCTAACTTAGCAACGTTTCCAGCCAGTAATGGCGCCAAAAAAAATGGGGATTATGTAATTGGAGCCCTTATCTACGGTAAATTGATACTTCTGGTTTTTCGTACAACGTCAAGGACTTTATTGTTTAAGACAAGCTATCAGTGTTATCTTAAAAAAGTATTTTAAATCTAGAGTTAACCAAAGTACTAAAATTAGTCAGCCAAAAAAAAACTGATTATAATGAGGTAGACAATTTTTTTTTGCAATCTTTTGACGTATTAAGCGCTTATTTTTATTTTATTTTACTTTTTAGTTAAATGCATTTCACTGTGTTTCTTTTGGCTTAAGTTAAAAAAATTGATGATCAATCAAACGGAAACAGTTTTTTCAGATTTAAACACCTGACACCTGACAAAACAAAACCAAAAAGTAGACTGAGAGCAGCTGCGAAACGATTGTGTTTTAAATTATTTTCATTAGTTAACGCTGAAGCGTTTAAAACTTATTTTGGCAAGCTGTTTGCTTGTTTTCCCTGACTATTTTTCATCCTGTTCACATTTTCTCGTTCCCAACAAATACAATTTAAGGGGAAATATTCTTACCTGCTCGTGTTGTTCGGCTCGTGGGATGGATTTAACATGGCGTCATTGATTTCCACAATTAGAATGTCGCCAGACTGGATTTCCGCCTCACCCCGCCAGGTGAGTACATTAGGTATGCAGCGCTCATCCTGTTTACAGTGCTCCATGGTCTGAAGAAAAACAGATTGGGGCCCGAAATTATTTATTTAAATCATTGTAAAAGACGCCTAAAAGGTTTGCCTGTCGGCTGCGGTTTTGCAGCCGACGGAAACTGAATTATTTAGCAAGTTTTATAATTTCACTTCGGTAACATTGTCTAAAGCCTAGCGAAGCTTGTCCCTTTTAAGTCAGTTTAGTTTTGTGGCAGAAACAAATTTACATAGGCAGCAGCCCGAATCTAATAAACTTCCAGCTAAAAGGTTCATTTGGGGTGGATATTAGCAAAGTTTCTAACATATGCCCGGGGATCCACTTGATGTTGCCAAATTTTTATTAATTTGGGTTAAGCCACAGACATAAGCCTCCAGTGGGGCACGTCACAATCGGTATACGAATAAAAATAATATAAAAAAATAATCCACAGCCCGAACTGGACTCTGCGGTCATCCCTGCCCTTTTTTATATGCTTCGTTTCTATGTCCGGCAATTTTAGCATATTTTTGCGCAATTTGAAGCGGTTTAGTTTGCCTACCGCCTTTTTTATACCGCTTTTTACTCTTCGGAGGGGATTTGTCGGAGCTCAAAATTTATGGCATTTTAATGGCCTGTCTCTACGCACATAAAAATCCACATTGTATGTCGGTCAGCTCGGAAAAAGCTGCATATTTACATCTAAAAGGGGACTCTTGCCCCATTGGGAAACGTCCCTGCTTTTGGGTCACATGGCATTTCATGCGTGTTTTGTGGTCGGCTCTTTTTTATGAACACCGCAATAGGTAATGGCATAAATTTCCATTTTTATTCCTCGTATATATTTACAAGTTTCGTTTGTCGTCCTTGTTTCTTTTTGAAAACAGGCAAATTGTTGAAATTAATACCACAAATATTCGACATTCTATGTAATTGTAAGCATCAGTAGCAACTTCACGCATGGAATATTTTAAGTACTTAAATGGCCGAAACTAATGACTAACATGCTTTGAACATACAATGGCTTTTATGACATTATGTGTTTAGCAATAAACAAAAGCTCTGCAGGAAAACTAAAATAAATTTGGAGACTTAAATAAGTTTAAAAGTAGCCAAAGGAGAAAAAGAGAACGAAGAAGGAAGAATTCCATCAAAACAAGTCCCGAAATAACAAACGGAAGAATAAACAAATTCAGTCATGAAAATTCACAACCTCCGCAGCAAAAGAACATTGGAGAAATGCTTTCACCTTTTATGCAAAGATTGTTTTCTTTAATTGTTTTCTTTTTTCTGTACCTGGTCCCTGAAAGAAAAAGAGCCTTGAAGTGCCCAAAGGAAGTCTGCATTAATTTTATGCAAGGTACACATTATGCCAATGCCTAATGTATACGTATTTTCCATTCAGGTGGCCCAGAGTTTGCATAATGCTGCAGTGCTCCTTAATTAAATTCACGGCCGAGCTGCCTTTGGCCATTTGCTGACCAAAAGGTAAACAGGAAATCAATTTAGTTGCCTTCTTTGCTCGCTCTATTTTCCCTGCCGACAAAAGAAAACGAATCTGGACCGAGCTGCCGTCAAATGGCCTTCAAAATTAATGGTATTTCGGTTCGAAACACACAAAAACACATTTTGAATAGACAGGCTGGCCACCAGATGTTAATTAAACATTCGGTCCTCAGTCAGTTAGTCAAAGGTTTTCCATTTCCCCGAAAAGCACACTCGCATAACTCCAGATGCCGATGAAAAGGGTGAACGCTTTCTGCCAAATGAATTTAAATATTTGCCAAAGGGGCAGCAGCTGTGATTTGGCCAGGCAAATGGCTTGATTTACGTCAATATAAACAGGACATGAAAGGGATATGTGCACGAAGGCAAACTGACTCCGAACCGAAGTCCTGGGACCCATTCGGAATTTGCCAGATGAGCTCCGGCCGGAGTCCCTTGTCTAGTTTATTCGTGATTTAACAACAAAAGCGATTTAATACAGAAATGGATAACCCTTTTCTCAGCTGGGCAACAGTGCGTTTCAAATTTGGAAAAACATTTAAAAGGTTGTCGTTTGAAGTGTTAGAAAACTTGTTTTTACAGAAAGCTAATATGTTCTTTTAAATAATTAATATTCGTTGAGTTACTAAAAAAAAACTTTTTATAAATAAAAGTGTTTTTTTTTACTGTTTACAACTCAACCAATTTACCTTGTATTTACAACAAATCTATAAATCCGAACCGGACTGTAAACACGCCCTCAGGTTTTGTCCTTTTTTGCATAAGGACTAGGGTAAAGTTTTCTTGTTTCCGGTCAACTTGTTTGGGTCTCCAGTCGCCTCCAAACCCACGACACACACACATGCTCAGGAAATGACCAAATAAGATGACGATCAATAATTTTCCTTTGTTGGCCAACTTATCGGGGATTAAATTTGCAGGGCTCGCTTCGATTCGGAGAATCCTTTTTTCCTGTGCCAATGTCCTTTTCTTGTCAACTCAACTGTCCCGTCTATGCTAACTCCGAATGTGCTTGTTATTTATTTATTTGCCTCCTGCCGCCATTCGGATCTTTTGGCTGCCGAATTGTCTCAGCTCTAAAAGGTTTTCAATTAGCCGAGCAAACAGTTTTAACAAGTTTCTGTCCTGTTGTTCGAAGGGAAATTGGGTATCGAATGTCAGTTGTTGTGGGCAAAGTAAAAGAATCCCTGGGCTTGCCTTTCTCGGCTGCCCTGCGAACTCAATCCGCAATCAATCTTTTCGAACAACTTCAGCAGCTTCATTAGGGATTCCAGTTTCCGTTTGGCTAATCCGTGGGTTCCCAGGCCCCGAAAACTAAGCTTCCTCCATACTAATTAGCCGTCAGCAGGCGTATTATGTAAATGGAGTCCGTTAGTCAGCCGACCCCCCATTTTTCCTTTCTATTTTCCCCTTCGCCTTTCGCCTAACCACCAGCTAATTGCTTAACCCGCTTACTCGAATAACACGCATACGCCGTGTGTTCCCATTCCATTCGCCATTCGCCAGCTAAGCTTTCTTTTCTTTCGCATTCTGTGTGTCGCTTTGTCTCTCTAATGATAAGAACTTAATAAGACCTCAATTGTTTTGATAAAGCTTTGGCCCACTACAGTGAAAAAAATCCCATTTATGCTCTACTTATAATAAAACCCATTGGTCTTGCCAAAATAATAGTCTGAATTATGAACAGTCCGGCGGGGAAGGCCAACGTTTCCCTAATCTCGGTTTAACCTCTTAACCTCGTGGATAGTTATTCAAGAGGACTTACCACAATCGGGAGCAGCAGTTCGTGGGTCTCGTTGCCGCGCCACAGATGCGAGTCCTGCGGCACATTGGGGATCTCGCACTCGAGCGAATTGATTTTCTCCTGCAGGCGACTCAAAATGCGCGGCCTGGCAATTGGCTTTGAGGCGGTCTTAGTGGGATTAGCCGCTGGCATACGGCTCCTGGCGGGAGTGGCCATCGGAGTGGCCATCGTTGTGGTGCTCAAGGATGCGGCTGCCACCACCCCCACCCCCGCTGCTGCTGCCGCCTCCGTTGGCTTGTCACTTGTCGACTTGGGCGGCGGTAGCACGGCCTTGAGCAATAATTTGGCACGCTTAAGCTCCTTCTGATATTTTCCAGTGCTCGTTGTCGGTCTGCCACTGGTTGTTGTTCTAGTTGTTGTCGTTGTTGTTCCTATTGTGGTTGTTGCTGCTGCTGGTGCTGCGGTAGTAGACTCAGTAGTTGTTGTCCTCGTTGATGTGGTGGTTCCACTCGTCGTTGTTGTTGCTGTTGTTCTTGTGGTGGTGGCCGGGTTAAAAGTTTTCCCTCCTGGCGTCACGTTCAAGTTTGCCGGGTGGCGAGTTGTATCCTCCGCTGACTTTATCGGACTGCCGTCAGCTTTGGCAGCCTTCATTAACTTTCGCTTATTGTGCAGCAGCATCTCGTTGTACAGCTCCTTGCTGTTGTAGAACTTTGTGGTGGAGAACTCCGGGTGCGAGGCGGGCGGATTGGGGGCATCCCCCCGTCCGTCTGGAACTTGGTGTTGGCGAAGTCGATGTGCGGCATGGCCATCACATCGCTGGCCCTGTGCTGCATGGGAAACTCGAAGCTCTTCTTCACCCGGCGATCGATGAACGTGTTTCCCGGATGCTTTATGGTAGTAACTCTTGGCTTTAGTGTTGTGGTTTCGTGCAGCTGGAACTTGCTCTCGATTTCGGTTATGAGATCGTCCTGATCGGCCAGCAGTTTGCCAGTGAAGTCAGCCGTGGTTCCCTGCTGCGGTCGGCTGGTGGTGGGCTTCACTGTAGTCGATGTGCTTAGCTTCTCCCTGTTTATCTTGATCTTCTCCCGCACTTCGTCCACCTCCTTGTTGACCATGAACTCCACCTCGTTGGGCATTAGATTCTGCTTGTACTCCTCGGCGTTTTCGGGCTGCGTGAAGATGGTCCTCTGCTTGATCAGCTCGTCGTTGTCGCTCTGGATGATGGGCTGCAGGTCCTCGATCTTCAGCGGATACAGGTCCACGATGTTCAGCTTGCTGGCCGTGGGCTGCTGGGCCAGCATGGCGTCGTACCTGGCCCGCTCCTCGTCGTTCAGGTCGGCCAGCGTTTCGGCCACCTGGTAGGAGGCGGCCGCCTGCATTTGGATCTGCAGCGGGGAAATCGTGGGGGTCACCTCCTCCTCCTCCTGCTCCTCGTCCTGGTCCACGGCCTCTGGCTGCTCTGGCTGCTCGGTGGTGGTGGTGGTGATTTCCACTGGCTGCTCGCTCAGTTTGATGCGGTGCAGGGCATTCTTGATGCCGCCCAATTCACCCAAATCGGATGCGGGCACCTCCTTTTGGGCTGGGGACGTCATTAGCCCGATTTCGGGGGCCTCGCCATTTGGCTCGGCCACAGTTGTTGCCCGGGTGGTTGTTGTGCTCGTTGTGGCCGTCGTGGTGGGCGTGGCCGTTGAGGTTGACCCGCCCACAGCAGCAATTTCCCCCGATGCCTCCGTGGAAATTTTCAACTGCGTCTGGTTGCCCTTCGCCGTTAAGTCATTTGTTATGGTTTCACTAGTTGTTGCAGCCGCCACCGCAATTACCAATGTAAAAATGCAGATTTTCCACATTTTTCTGGCTCTGAGCTTCCCTTTTTGGGGCTTTTCCTCGCTTTAGAGTTTTGTATTTTGATTTTCGCTCGCTGTTCCTATTTTTATAAATACGCGCTCATGGCGTCTGAAAATCTGTAAATGGAAAAATACATTTTATTAGTTGAATTTATTTTCGGTTTCCCCCCTTTTGCGACCGCAGCCATCAATTTACTGAAAAATAAACATGCTGGCCATATACAGTACAATATTTTATGTAGAAATCCATAGCCGGCTGACTTGCCTTTGTTTGGCTTTCTGGCAAATATACATGCGTTTAAACGAATTACTTTTTTTCAATGGGTTTCGCTTTACAAAATTTGTTTACTTGTTTGTGAAAATCTGATGGCACAAATAGAAGTTATAATGCCCGGCTACATATTAATTAAAAATGCACATAAAGCCCTACACACACACAATTCGTTATCAGAAATTCCACACATTCGGAATTTAACAACAATAAACTGGCAAATACACTTGTTAAGCGAATTTCTGGCACTCGAAAATTATTTTTCGCTCGATGAGTGGTCGAAAGTATGCAACAAATTTGTGCACTCAACACTTGGAAATATTTGCTAAAACGCAGGGCGAGTGTTTGTGTCGGCTAATCAAATAATTTCCATTATACGGGTCGGCCCGTCCATAACTCATTGAACCAATTGAATGGACGACAAAGTAAAATAACTTTTACATGCAATTGAATTTGATGGCCAGATAAAGGAAGCCTGGAATTACTTAATTGACAAAGCATTTCGAGGGGCACTGGAGCCCGAAATCAGTTGGGACTTTCGAGGGGACCCGATTGATTTGCGGCTCGCCGCGCCAATCCCACTTTAACCCCCTCCTGGACCCTTCTTAACCACTGTCCTTGGCAGCTGACAACTCACAGTTGATTGCGCCCAGTGGACTGGACGGGACACACATTGGGCCAACTTGAGTGGAACTCGAGCTGGACATACATTCATGACTCGCTGCGTACTCGGTCGGTCCTCCCTTTCGCACGCTTATCTCTGCAGTTTGTCAACGCAACTGAAGACTGGCAGTCGCCCCATGAATTACACTTTACACTGCCAAAAAAATATGCAGCAACTTACCTAAACATATCATTTCATATTAAAATTAAACTCTGGTATCCTATGTGTTTATCTACAAAATAACGAGATTTTTCGCAGTTGAGTTTATGGAATTAATATATTTAAAAATTTATATGTTTTTCTTTCTAATCTCAATTACTGCCCAACCAATAGATTTTCTTTCAGTGCAGACTCATATGTAGTTGGGAATGAATGTTGAATCTAGTTCAACAGTCGTTCGTTGTGGTACTTTATGTGCGACAGATTTATCTGGAAAAGCCATAATCCTGGAGAAGGAAGCGAGGGAGATTTCTTGAGCTATTTATAGGCACATTTTGCCAGATTAAACCGCTTTCTGCTCGCTCTGCAAAATGGCCTCGTATGACCACTGAGATGAGCCATCTTAGATATTCCGTTTGAATTCGAATTTGGCCGTAAGGCAACTCGAGTTTAACTGCTTAAACGCTGCCAAACGCTGCTGGTTGGAGAACATAGTTGAGTGGGGAAAATCCATTTAATTTGGATAAATTCAACAGCGTAGAAAAAATATTTTGTGGACACTGACTGTCGTATTTCCGTTGCATAAAAAAAGCATTATAGCTCTTTAAAGCCTGTTTAAACGGGAAAATGTTTGGAAGGCTCTGTCAATATAAAACACAATTTTAAATGATAGAGGCAACATGAAAAATTACTAGTTTGTTTCCCCCCAAAGCGCCGAGGACTGCACACGCATGTGATCCCGTTCTCGGTTCGGTTTTGCTTATTTATGGCCTCCGATGGCTGGCGATAAATCAAACCTAGTCGCACTCGCACACAGTGCCGTCGAAAAGTTGCCTCCTGCGGTGCATGTGTAATGCCGGCTAAGTAGCTGTAAAATATATTGCAATTTGTTGCAGCTGCGCATCCCGTCCTCTAGCGCTTCCGTTCGTCCTTGAGCGCCACCCAGCTGGCATTCAATTAATTATTGTAATGACGAAATTAATTAAAACTCATCCAGTTTGATGCTGCGGCTGGGGTCATATTGAAAAGCATATTTATGTTCTGCGGTCTGTCTGTTGGTTCTGTCTCTTATCCAGCATTCGAAATGGTTGTCAATTCTGGGTTTGAAGAAGTAAACTTTTCACGGTCGGGGAAAAGTTAAGAGCATCAGGGACTTTTTCAACGCAAACAACTTAAGCACATTTCTTTATTTGGCTGTTTGGCTGGCAGCACCGAGCAAAAACAAATCAAAATCCGCTTAGTTCCGGCTGCTCTGGCCCCTCGTGCTTTTTAAAGTCTCCTTATAGCCAACTCCGTGGCAAGTCCCGATAACTGAGCCCCACTTGTCGCAGCTCCACTTCCCGCACTACCAGTTTTTCCATAATTTTCTTGCGGTTGAGCTGCACACACGCGCGCAAAGATGAAAAACTGTAAGAGGGATAACTGTGGAAATTTTCATATTTTTTTTGAGAAATGAGTTTTCGCTTTTGAGCTGCTGCTTTTTTTTGGCTTTCGTCCGTTCAAACAATATTTTTGTGCGACTTTATGGCCTTTTTTCTTAAAAGCTCTTAAGCACTGATATTTGTTTTCTAAAAAAAATCGCACAATGTGTGCAAAAAACTGTTCATTTAAATATGTATTTTCCTTTTTGCAAACACGAATATTCAAGCAGCAAACATATTTTCAAACAGGTTTTTAATAATTGACTGAGTGTTAAGCTTATATCAAGAAATAAACAAAAAACCATTTGGTACTGGGATTTTCATACCAATTTTATTAGTTTAATTAAGCAATTCAATTTGAGGCTGTCGATTTTAGGCATCAAAAATGTTGGCTAAAATGTAATATTCTCTCTGACAAAGCTTATCTAAATCCGCAAAAATTCTTTATGCGAAAATTGTATATTCAAATAAAAAAACTCATTTCTGTAATCCAGAATGAGATCAACGCTCAACCGCCCCCTTCTGCTTCCTGTCATAAATCATTCTCACAAAGCTAATTCCCAAAATGAAACAAATCTTACTCCGGCTTACCAAAAAAGTAAAAATAAAACACTTAAAAATTTCCCAATTTACTGCAGCTTACAAAAAGAGGCATACGAAAATGGCAAATAAACGGAAGGAACAGTAAAAAATAAATACGAAAATGGAGTGGAGTAAGCCTGAAAAGAGCCAAGTAGCAAAAAACGCAGGGCGAACACATAAATAAACACGTTCAATGGCAAATAAAAAATAAATCAAACATTTCACTTGGCGCAGCCGAAAATAAATAAGACCAACAACAGGGCATCAACAAAAATATTGTAGAAATGCTGGAATAATAAAAGTGAAAATGAAAAACAAATAAAAAAGTGGGCTGGGGGCGTGGTCCTCTATGTCTGGAAAAACTTTGCTGCTGCTTTCTCTTTGGCAAACAGTTGCAGCAACCGAAGAAGAGGAGCAAAAAAAACGATGTGAAGGAGCAAAATGTAAATAGAAATAAAAATGAAGCTTAATTTAAAATGCGACGAAGCGTGCCACACACACACACACACACACACAAAAAAACGGGGACACTGCCTCGAACGCAAAATACCTGGCAATCATCCGGAAAAATGCGTTGCCTACTTTTTGGGCAAATACCGAAAAGGGTCGACTTATTTTAAAATCTGTCTATATAGTTTGTTTGGGAAATATGTCTGGTATTTCCATTTGAAACACACAATATATAAGACCTTCAAAGAAAAAATGCGACCGTTGCTCCAGTTTTTCGAATACTTGATGCCTCGGAAGTCTACGAGTGCTGGGTACAAAAATACATACATATTCACTGGGGCCATAAACAAACTCTAATATCAACAGAGCTGGGAAAAGGCGATGTAGATGGGCCGCTGCAGATAAACACAGCGAAAAACATTTTCGCTCTATGCAAAGCAACATTCCTCCTTCAATTTCCCCCCTTTATATTTAGAAATGTGTGTCTGCTTTTTTGTAGCTCTCCTTTGGTCGCATTTTTGGGGTAACACACACAGAGACATAAACTCACAGAGCCCGAGAAAAAGGCTGAAAGAAGAAGAAATCCAAAACTCGCAACCGCAAAAACCACTCCACTCCCCTGTTCTCCTAGACCAACTCCATCCACAAGTTTTTGGCCTGCTGGTGACGCTTTTTTGATAGCAGCCACAGGGCCACCCAAAATAACACCCCCACTTCTCTCCCCCTTTGAACTACCTCAGCCAGGACCTTAAAACAAGGTGTGTCCTTGCACAGTGGTGGCCAGCATGTTGGGAAACCCGGTTTCCCAATTGAAGTGTTGCCTCATTTTAATTAAAAGTGTGCAGAAGCTAAATATTTAGCAATTTGTACCACGGATAGTATAAGTTTTTTAATACGTAATGATTGCTATTTATAGACATATTTGGTGTGCATAGTTTTAATACTGATTGCAAAATTATTCACTGATTCTCAGACTTTCTTCAGTTGAAATACTTGCACATATTTACCGCAATTTGAGTGAACTTATTTTCGCATTTCGCAAACTTTGGCCAACTTTTCCACGCACTGGCCACACTGCCTGGTTTCGAGTAGGGTGAAGTGGCGTAACCAAAGGGGGATTCCAGGGGGGCCCATGGCGCCCGACTCAAAGTGTGCGGCGCTGCGTTGTAAAGAACTCGCATTTATCTTTATTTTTATGCCACAAACACGCCGTCTTGCTCAAAGCGAAAGAGTGGGCGACATGGCGAGGGCTTTAGTGTTGGGTGACGGGGGTTATGGCGGAGTTAACTGTGGCCCCCTCTGCCTTGTGTCACGCCCCATCGCCACCCACTCCACCCATTCCATCCAAAGCCCCCCTGCTCGAGGGCAAAGCAAAAGCCAACATTAGCTGGGGCCACGATGAAGGCGGCGAACGCATACAAATCACAGAGCAAAGAAGGTGCGAGTGTGAAATCCACACAGAAAAAAAACGCTAAGCCATGGAAAATTACCACAAAATGTGGGAAAAATATTACCCCCTTCTCTATAATAAAAAAATGTAAGGGAAGCCATAAGTTTTGGATATTGAACAGCAATAAAGTACAAGTTATTGGGCAATAAGTAAATAATAGCACACAGTATACCATAAAATTTCTATTTTAAATGCTGCGAGCATGTTTGAATGAAGCTTTTTTTTTTAAATTTTGAAATCAGTGCTTTAATGTTTTGTTAGGTGTATAAAAACATGCTGGCCAAGATCTCGCAGGTCGTTGGGGGCAGTGGGTGGTTGGGTGCATATGGTTGGATGGTGGGCCTAATCTCTTCAATCTTCTAGTTTTTGCTATGTAAAGTGAAGCGCTTAAGGCCTCTCCTCGTGGGTGACAACATCAGCCAGCCATACACACACACATACACACTCAGGGCCATACCTTCAGTTGGAAAATCGAAGCTCTTGTGCGCCACTTGAAGCGCTGAGCTAAGCCAAAAAAAAAGAGCTAGGAAAAGCGGGGAAAAAGCCGAACGAGAGGGAAAACCACAAGATGCTAAGTAAAGTTCAAGTGCCGAAAGCCAGCAGAAGGGGATAATACTATATATAGCGGCAAGGATTTTGAACATCTGCCGGTAAATATTATACAATGTAGCTCTAAAAGCAAAATCACGTACAAACTCCGGCTAAAACTTCCTTGTCCGCCGATCCGATCCGATGGCTCTGCTCTCCGTGTTAGTTTTAATTTCAAATTATTTGTTTGGGCGCGTCGTTTGTACTTCGGCCTTGGCTCGTGGCCCTCTGTTTGCACTTTTCCGTTCTTGTGTTTATTTTTTTTGTTAATTTCACTTTGTCGCTTTTTGTTTGTTTTTCATGAATTTTACCGTGTTTGCACTGTAAAGAATTTTGTGGGTGACTTTCATTGAATGTTATCTTTCGGGGGTCAACCAGCCCACATTCATTGTATTTTTAAGCCAGAAAAAAGATTTTCCGACGAAAAAGTTTCTTCTGGAACACTACTTTTTAAAGTCCTGATAGGTTTAGCTTTGAAATTTATTTACTACAAAATAAAATGCTACACTTTTGAATAAATGTAAACAAAGGTATTTAAAAAATGTTGTTTGTTCTTATTTAAACATTAAATAATATTATAAACATGAAAGAAAAAGTAAAAAGCATTGAAATGGTAATCCTTTATTTCGAATGAATCATTGCAAATTTAAAAGCCTGCAATTTATTCTCGAATTAAGCCATTAAGCTTTTAAAAGTACTTTATGCGCTACAGAGGGTTATTATCACTACAAAAGGTTCTTATTTTGTAAGAAAAATCCCGATTGAAATATTTTATTTTAAATTATCTTTTGATTTTTTTTAAGCACTTATGTTTCATTTTCAAATTTAAACACTCTGCCAATTAAATTAGGGCTCAGGTGCGACACGAGCTGTTGAGCAGAATCATGATGATTCAGTTAGTCGGCTGTAAACTCACTTTAGTTTGCAAGCAATGTAAACACACTTCGACCGGGGGAACTATTGAGGGCCTGTACCTTAGTCCGAATCCAAATCGCGACGAACCGTAACGCTTCAAAGTTACTCCGCTACTGGTCGAAAGTCGAAAGGATGCTGGCCATGTTCAGATAAACGTCCTGGAGCTTTGCTATAAAATCTGCGAGAGCGAAAATCTCTCACTTGAAGAGCAGGAGTTCTCAACATGCGCACTCAGCATCCGGGAGAAATGTTTTGGGTTTTATTTTGAAGGGAAGTTTTGTCTGGCCACCGAAAGGTTTTATCTGAAAATTACCCAAAACATTGGAGGCCACAACAGCTGGGCAACAGCTGACGATTTGAGGATGGTTAGGAGCCAAAGCTTTCATAACTTGTGGAGCGTTTTCCGTCTGTAAATGTTTTGCTTTTTCTTTTTTTTTTTTTTTTTTTGCTCGCCGGTCTCGCTGTCTGTTTGATGTTGCGGTTGCTTTGGCTTCCCCATTATTATCATCATTATCGTGTGACGCACTCTTGGCAACGAAACGCTTTTCATTATGCGCCCTCATGTCTATGGCCTTTATGTCTAATGCGTGCATAAGGACCCCTCTTAAATCCCGACTTGGCCATGTTTGTGTTGCGCTCTGCGCTTATTTCATACGTAAATACAAACACACATATAGTAGGGCATGTCGGCGCAGCCATTATGCGGATTGAGTCGGTTTACTTGGCGCTGGATTATTTTTATCATCGCTTGTGCCAGTAATTTATTATAATGATTTACACATTAAGTACCATTAGCTTTTGTGTAAGGGCGTATAAATTGCAACTAATTGTGCACAGTGCGTCCTGTTCGTAATATATATTCGCGTGAAACTTTAATGAGAAAAGCGCAAATATTTACACGCACCCACACACGCAGAGCGCAGTTATTAATAATCGCGCTTCGTTTGGGAATTTTACGCAAATTCTCATCGGCACCTTAATGAGCAACTTTTCCGGCGAACGCAGTGGGCGGAAAATGATTTCGGAAAATTATCCCCCGCGCGCACGCAAAACTTTCCTTCTCATCAATTCGAAACTAAGATGGGAACTTCGCAGGCGTGCATGATATTTATGCCTTGGATTTAGGTTTTCCCACTTCCTTCGCTCTCTGGAAGTTCATTAATTTTTCCCCAGCTTTTCATTGGCAATTATGCAACAAAACTTTTCGCTTTTGGCAGAAACAAACAAACAAACGGATTGACAGTGGGTAAGATATTGATTTAATGCATCCCCAGAACTCAACGGTGGAGTTTTTTGATTTGTTCTTTGGCTGCCTGAGTGAGCAGTGAAATCTGCCAAAAGTTTGGCAGAAACTATCTACACCGAGAAGAATATTGGTTAGTGATTAATTAGTTAATCAGCCAAGGGTCACTGCTTGTAATTTTCGGATATAGAATTTACCTATTATAAGTTAAGATGAGAATCGAACTTATCAAAATCTACAAAACATATTATTTTTTATGAATAATAGCTCAACCTTTTTTCTTCTGTGCACACAAAACCCACAAAATGACAGTCGTTCCCCAATCAACTTTGTCTGCTAAATGCTGGCATAATCTGACATGTTCCTATGTACCAGTAACCAGACACACCGCACGAAATGCATTTCAAATATGCCAGCCATGAAAAATGTCCTCCCATTCTGCGAATTTAGCACACAAAAGTTAGGTAACTTTCGATTTTTGTGTGGGCCACAAAAATTGGCACCCCGCTCTATTGGCCCAGCTTTTCGAGCCCTTTTTATCTGTTTTTCTGGGTTATTTTTTTGCGGCTGGCGCCACCAGCACCTTGACACTTTTGCAATTGTCGCATGGAAATATTTTCCCATCCGTTGTTATTCTTGCTCAATTTGTTCGTGTGCGCCCCCATTGTTTGGCCCCCTTTTTGTTGATTTTTATTTCGGTCTTTGCTCCATTTTGCTGTACTTTTTATTTATGGTTAGTGCAGCAAAATATTTCAGCATCAGGCGCAAAACCAAAGTGCCGAGTGTGAGGGCGGCATCGGGGCCAAAAACTATGTGCTAGTTCAGATTTTTTTTGGCTTTTTCTTTGCCTCTTCAGATCAATGAATAAATCATTGGACTCGAAAGGGTTTGGTTGGGGTTTTGCAAAACGGAGTGAGTCTTTTCTGGTAATATTTGAGCATATTTTATGGGAATGTTTGTACTAGTTTTAAGTTTGCATAAATTCGACTAGAGTCGGAAAATGTTTTGTGTATCTTTTACAAAAGCTTATCAAAGTGAGCTCGAGTATTCAATAACCATTTTGAGTAGAGATATGACAGTTTCTTGATAATTTAGGAAAATGTTCATTCTAAGTTGTTCAAGAGAGAATGATCTTAATATTTAAACCCCTTTAAGGTTTTTCCCCTTTTAAAGCTCCAGCCATTAGCAGAATGCCAACCCCTTTTGAAAGCCAGCAGCAGAGTAAACTAAGCAAATCTGCTGGCAATTTAATCCTTTTGAATTTGCTTTAATTAACTCGAATAACAAGCAGCATCCGCATACTTTGTACTCCTCCGCCTTCCGCAGCCTTTTTATGCTGTTTGTGGGCTTATGAGCTTTGGCACTTTGTGGTTGGAATTTCTGTGATTTTTTTGGCAGTCGGATTTCCGACATTTGCCAAAGCAAATTTCAGCAGAGCGGGACTAATAAGCCAAACAGAAGACAGTGGCAAAGGGGCTGCTGGAAAAAAGGGGCGGATGGGGGCGGCCTGCAGACAAAGTTAATACGACACAGCTGCCCTCGCAGTTGGTGGGCAATTGAAAAGTTTATTAATAACCAGCAGCAGCAGCAGCCACAGGAACTTTAAAGAGAGAATCCTGCTTTTTTTGTGTGTATGATTTTTATTTTTAATTAAAAGAAGGCAAAACTGAGCGGAAGCGAGTGCGGTTTGAAGGAAATGTAATTATATTTGAACAGCATGCGAAATATGTTTTAATTTATTAAATTAAAATAAGCGAAAACAAACCCGGAAAGAAGGAAAAGGAACAAAAAGCAAACAGGCAAAGGAAGCAGCCAGCCGCAAACCGAGTGCCCAAAGCAATTTGAGCCAGCGTCACACGCGGCGTATGCGTAATGTGCTCGCAACAAAATCAACGTTATGCAAATTTTAATGCGAGCATAAGGCGGAAACGAAACGGCGCTACGCTAGCCAGTTTCTCTTGATTCCTGTTACGGGTATTACCAGGGTATCAACAGGGTATGATGATTCATTAATTTGGTTTGAAAACAACCATCTAATTATTGAAGCGTCGGACAAACTATTTGAGATTAAAAAATTCAGTTTAAAAGGCTTTTTGTTATTTAAGTAAACATTTTAAATGGAAACTCATTTATAAATTTTCCTACGAATTTTTACTAGTAATGCCTGGTGTAAATAACATTCCCTTATTTTAGGGCCGCAGATAATGCAAGAAATGCGGAATATACTTACTTAATGACTGCCATCACTCACAATAACAACTATTGTAAAGGTCCAATCAATCGAAAAGCCACAACAAACCAATTGCAGACTTCCGCGTAATTGAGCAATCACAGGGTATCGTTTAAATCCGACCCAAATCTGCACAGGACTCCTTCGTCCTGCGAAGCACCCTGCAGTTGAATTTGTATTTACATATGCGTCCGTGTATGTACATTTTCCAGAGCAGTCTCCTGGCGCAAAATTACACTTTGTTGGCAACACACTCACACACACTCACACAGCGACATTCGCGTAGCGCAAAAAATTGTAATGAGCTTATTAAGTCATATTAAAGTCCAAGTACAACCAATTTGATAAAAACAGCAACTGACAGCAGACTGGCGACACACACATGAAAACGTTATTATGCGCCATTTTTTACGATAGCATTTGGCATAAATGTTAATAACAAATGGCGCAGACACAAAACCTTTTTGTATGTATTACACTTTGAAAAAAGTAGGAATCGGTAATAGAAACCTTTAATTTTTGTTTTATTTAAGTAGATTCCATTTAAATTTATATATTGGGGAGTTATGGAAGAAGTAAATCTTGTCTTATAAAATAGTTAGTTTTTTATTAAAAACTTTTTCAAATAATTTAAAGCACAGCCTTTCCGTGTATGTAATTTATATGAATAATGTAAATGAGCTTGGCAGCAGGTGGCTTAACATTTTTATTCGCTCCGCAATGCGGTAAATTGTTCTTAACTCGGCTTAATTGAGTATAATCAAATGGCTGGTGAGTTTTCACTCAAATTCGGTTTGACAACAGCTTTCAAAATTAACGTCATTCTGGGAGAGAATACTACATCAACATCATTAACGATTGTTTTTAAATAAAAAGGTGTTGATTTTTGTGCAGATGCTGGCTCAAATGTTTGTGGAAAGTAAGCTTAACTTTAAATTCACTTATTTAGTGGCTAATGGCCCTTTTTTCTCATAGAGTTAAGTCCCAATTTGGAGACAGCCTCTAGGCTGTTGAGAAGTCCGCTTGGCCAGGCGCTAGTCTCCTTTCTGCTGGGTTACTTGGCCACCACAAAGTTGTCGCAAATTTATGGCAAGTTGAGAGAAGATTCCCTAAAATCCCAGGCATCCGAGGAGGAAATGAAATTATACCCCAAGAATGACACTGAGCTCATTGCCAAGGGCAACGACATTTTGCTACTCACTCAAAAGGAACTAACTGCTTTCGATGGCTCCAACCCAGATCAACCCATTTACACCGCCGTGAATGGCATGATCTACGATCTGAGTCCGGGCCGAGAAAAGTTTTCCAGCCATGGTCCTTACTCGTTCTTAGCGGGTTGCGATGCCAATAAGGTCCTTAACATTGCCTGCGGTTCCATGGGCGTTTGTGCCCCTGATGTGATAAATCGTTGGGAGCGAAGTCTCAAGGCGGAATTCAATGTCATAGGCTTACTGATTGATGCGGATGTGGAGAATATGGCAGAGGTTCCCGAAAGCAAAGAAGAAATGACATTTTCGGATCAAACAAGGCAAATCAATTACGTCTAATGAGATTTTAATGTCCCCTTGATTTAGTTTTGCAATAAAATGGTAGTGAAATCTTTTACTTCGAAAACTAAAACAGAGGGACATTCGAATCTGATTAAGAGACTTATCTGCACATGTAGAATATGTTACTATAAAAAATTGTTTGTGTTAAAAGCTATTTTAATTAAGTTAACCAAGACTGCAAATTTCCCTTCGACTACATTTGGTTAATTTGTTCATTCGAGTTTAGATCTCCTAACAAATAGTTGCTTTTGAATTGACTTTTTGGATTTTTCATTGGCTGGGATCAAATTAATTTTACCTCCCCTTTTTTTTTACCGTTTGACCGAGCTCTTGGCATTTGGAAAATCGGAAAGTTTTTTCCCGCTTTGTCTTTCACTTTTTTGTCGGACGCTTTGACAAGAACGTATCGGCAGCGGCAAATGTCGATAACAACAAATTGTTTGTCGTGTTTTCGTTCTTTTTTCCTTGGCACTTTTGGCCCATCAAGCTGTTGACTTTGTCAAGTTGTCGCCGAATTTTCAGGGCTTCGGGTGATTCGGGTTTCCCATTGTGTTGGTATGTGTGCGGCAAAAACTTTGCGCCAAACACGCAATTGACTGAAATTGAATTGAAAGCCGAAAGCTGGAAGCTGAAAGCCAAGAAGTGACAAAGAGGGCGAGAAGGGACAGAGAATGCCGTCAGGTGCTACACAGCTAATAAAATCAAAATTACTTTTTGCCAGCGCAAAGTTTTCGCAGTCGACGTGCTTAAGGAATTTAAAAAAGTTGTCCAAAAATTGTTAAGCACACACTTCAAATTCAGTCGAATGTGCAAAAGGACAACACACACTCACTCCCAAGTACCAAGAACAACATTTGGCAAAGTGTTATTTGAAGTGTCGAATTTGATCAAGCGCAAAGGTGACAAAAGGGCTCAAAAGTTAACAACAACATGGGACCCGGAATAACAAGTAGAATGGGCTCCTCAAAGGGCTGCAAAGGGGCAACCTGGAGTGTTAAACCAAGATTGAATGGAATTAGGACACTTGCATAAATTACAATACTCCCATCTGTCCAGAAATTGATTGTAAGCATTTATCTTTAATCACAGATTGCTTTAAATATTATTTAACTTTAAATTAATAATTATATTCTTGCATCGGAAATTAAACCTGTACAACTGCTAGGAAAGAATCAAAACCTTTCACTTTTAAACTATAGTGTATTATCATGATTAATGAGCTCACAATTTAAGGTGATAAATTATTTAATATACAAATGACGGGGTTATTAATTACCTTTGCACATTTCACAATTTAATTACCGACTGAGAGCTTAATCATTTTCTCTGCTCCCGTATGCATTTTCTATCTTTAGTCCTTAATTAAATTTTTTTAGAGATGTGTTCTCATAATTCTTTTACTGTCCATTTGGCCACGCCCCATTACTTGACCATTTATGGTCTGCCATATAATTTTTGCCAAACTTTGAATTTATTACCATCTGGTTGTCATGTGCAAACGACGCTTTAACCCCGCAATTTCTCGGCAGATGGAGACCTCCTGCCCCTGCCCACCGCATTCATTTTAATGTTTTACGTGACCCATTCGAAATCGAATCGAATGACTCATTAAATGCAGAATAGACCAAAACAGGTGGGCCAAAACGGAAAACAGAGGAGGGAAAAGGGAAAAGGGAGGAGGCGGTGGCCATAGGAGATGTGTACGAGGCGAAAGGCAATTAACCATGAGAGCTTATGCCATGGCACGTGCCTAATTGCCAGAAAACACTACTCGAATCTGGTTTTGCTATTTACTCAGGCAAATGACTGTGTGAGAGTGTGGCGAACAATTAGTTTTCCAATTTCGAAACTAAAATGTTTGCAAACAACACAAATTAAACTCGCTCCAATTGCATTCCGGCAAAAGACGAGGATCCTCATTCTTTTTGCCAAAAGTTTACTTTGCTCTTTGCCATTCGCCGCTTGCCGGAGTTAATTTAATTAGTTTTCATTTATTTAAAGTACACGCTTCATTACATAATTTAACAATTCATTAGATTGAGCCGGGTGCCGTGGTAATTGAAAAGCGCGTCACGCTCTAGTCCCTCGATTTTCCCCATCCCGCCCAACGCGATTTTTTTCCCCGCCAATCCAGTCCTTGCATATCTGAGTCCTGCTCCTCATTTCGCAGTCTGGTTTTTATGTTCACTTTGTTATTATTGCCGCCAGACAATTGCTAATGGTCGCTGTAATTATCATTAAATGCCTCGCTTTCTTTTTAATTCTTTCGCCATTTCTTCACCGCCATCCACCTCCCAATTTCTTCTATTTTTTCCGTGGGAACAATGCCAGTGGCTCAACAGCTGCTGGCTACATTTTAATGTGTTTGTAAAAGGATTAAACTGCACTTGGCTCCTTAATTTGATTGCATTCGCGAGTGACTCGCTATTCATTTTATATTATGGATAAATGATTAAAAGGGATTGGAAATAAGCGAACTTAAGCTGAAAATGTTTAAGATAGAAATAAAGGTGGGTAAATCAACAAGCTTAAGCTTTACGCTAATTTTATACATATTATACATTTCCTTAAATATCAATCTCTGTAACTCATCCTTGTAACAGATTTTTCCTGCCAGATAAATCTCAGCCAAACACAATTCTCAAGTGCTGTACATATTTTTGTGCACTTTATGCAACAACATTTCCCAGATTTTCTCATATTTTTCGCAGAAAGAGGCTTAAATTTGACAAGTCAAATGTCATGCAACCATTTTGGCAATAACTTTTTTTGCAGGGGGGTGTGTATGGAAACATTTTTGCCAGGATTTGATTTACAAATGGTATTCGGCTGGCCCAGAAACCGATGGCCTTTTGGAATTCATAAATCCATGTTAACCCGAATGACACGAAACGAAACTCAACACAACACAACACAACAAAACAGAACGAAGCGAAGGCTGAACCAGTTTTGTCTCATATATCAAGCTTAATTGCAATTCAGGGCCGATGGAGTGGGGGCCATGCAATTTGCGAGCTAAAGAGTTGACCTAAAGGCACAAAGGCAAAGGCATTTTCCCGGCCATGTCTAGACTGCGAGAGAGTCTAGAACCCAGCAGCAGCCTCGGGTTCGGGAGTTCGCAAATAAATTTCACCCAAAGCCCCGGCTCGGCCCATTAAAAGTGGCCACAGACTGGCTGTCTCGGGTGCGTTATGCGAGTACTTTATATTCAAAAGTGTGTAATTTGCAAAAATGTCGGCTCGAGTCGAAGCTCCGCTGGCATCGCCCCCCAGCGACAAAGAGGGGCAGCAGCTGTGCTCGTCACATTAACCTGATGCCACCGGGGAAAAGGGGGAAATGGAGAAGGGAGAAGGGAGAAGGGGTGGGCGGAAAATGCTGGCCAAGTGCGCAGCGGATTACACGCGAAAATATGTATGTCCTTTGTTTTTATAGTAAGCATGCCAAAAGCCATCCAAAGAATTTTTATTGTTGTGTATAAAGCCTCTAGCGATTCTCAACTTTCAAAAATAGTTCAAAGCCAGAGTTCTACATTTTATACGTGATTTTATACTTTTTGTATATTTTTACATATTAATAACATCTCAGAAAATTTTAAAATATCTAACCAGTAAATAGTGTAGCTTTTTTCTCTGTGTACATTCTGAATCCCTTAGGCTGACGACTTTTTGTAGGTCGCCTACGTCGTCCTCGGCATTTTCTCGTTGTTTCTGGTGTTTTTGTTGTTGTTGTCGCCAGGTCGCGGTTAATTATGTTTTTTGTATGTCCTTACGCATACCAAAAGGCAAAGGACGACGTCTTTTCTATAAGTGTGTGTGTGTGTGAGGCTGTGCTGCGTGTGTGTGATTATCGTCTCGGATTTAATGCGCACTTTGATGTGAAACATTGCTAATTTGGCTTTTTATGTTCTTGCCGGCGCTGCTCAGTTCCCCTTCGTTGGCCCCGTCACTCCTTCCTGATTGCTGTTGTTTTTCCCCATTGCTGTGGTTATTACTTCAGTTGCCGCCCATGGGCGTGGTCCTCCCCTTTTCCATATTTAAAGCCGCATAATGCCCGACTGGTGACGTTTTTATGTAGGCTTGATTTCAATTATGAGTATGTAAAATAAATATATGCACAGAGATGGATTTATAATATAATTTCGACAGAATAAATGGAGGAATTTTAAGGAAATTGTTGGTCTTTAAAGGTCCTTACATAACATCTTAATTATATAACAATACAAGGTTATTAATTTATAACTCTCCTTCTGGAAACCCTAAAAATCTTAGAGTTCAAACATGATAAACGACCTTGGCTTATACAGAGCTCACTTTAACAAATTTGCTTTAATTTCCTGACTGTTGAAGATAACTCAACCTTGAAGAATCTCCTCCCATTTAACTTCATCGCTAACGTTGTTTCAATTAATCCCTGGAAAAAAGCATCTCAGCTTACAGAGTCAGACGATTTTTTTTTGCTGGGGCAATTTGTGAATTGTGAAAATTGATTTATGGCATTTTCGCACTGGCATCTCACATTTCACTCTTCACTTTTCACTTTGCTGCCGATGACAGCCGACACACAGCAGCCAACAAAAACCGAAGTCAGAACGGCAAAAAAAAAGAGGGATACGCCAGGCTAAAACAAATGGCAGACATAAATCCATCATCATCAACATTATCGTGATGGCCGAAAAGCAGCCAAGCGTTTGAACAAATTGACTGCAAGCAATTTGGGCGAAGAAAGTGCAAAAAATAAGGAGCATAATTTGGACAAATATTGCTCATACGCAGCGAGGCTCATTAGGGAGCAGCTCGGGTACTTAATTTAAATAAATCGACAGAGAGTCGAAACATTAACCGAACCGGGCATAAATTCTGATCAACTTAATAGAGCACTTTGTCAGGCGGCAACAAGTTATTTCAACTGTCTGCCACGAAAAACCGAGAGTTTAATAACATTCCTTGCCGACGGCAAAATTAAATAAAACAATATTAAACATAAGCCAGTCGAGAATCTCATCACTTGGTGCTGAAAATTCCCCCTTGGCCAACTGCTGATGAATTAGTTTCCCCAAAGCTCAAAGTTTTCCCCATTCAGTGTGTTTATTTGAATCGCAACTGAAATCCACTCGCTTTTGGCTTAGTTCATAATTTACTTACCAAAGGGTAGAAGCCAAGACCAGATGTTTGACTCCTAATTTCGACCAAAATGTTTTAGTCGCAATATGGCAAACAACACCAGTGGCAAAAGCAAGCAAACAAATGGCTTTAACCTAGTTAACCCTTGGGCTAACAGACACATTTTAACAATATGCCAAAGTCACTTCCTTAAAGTCATCTTTAGAATCTCTTTAAAAGTTTTAAAATCGTACTTTATTTCCTGAGATTATTTTTTGATTCATAAATATATAATAACTCATAATATTTATGTGTAATTAGAAAAATCCCAGTGATTTTAAACTAATTTATTATCTTCTAAACTATTAGTCATACCATTGTTAAAATAAATAACACGGTGTGACCCTAAGTAGCAGATAAGAATATTAACTAAAAATTAAGCTGTAGTCAAATGAAGCCGAAGCAGATTCAATCCATTAAATTCAAAGCATTGAAAGAGGAAAGAAGTCCGACTTTAGTTGCTCCAGCTGTTTTACTTATCATGAAGAGCGTACTCAATTGGCTTTTGGCCACTGTGTTGGCCACAACAGCCTATGGAGATTATAAATTATCTAGGGAAGATAAGATAAGCCCGGAACTAGAAGAAATCTTTAGACAAATCGACAGATTAAATTACTTTAACTGGTATCAGGTAAGTGAAATCTTTTTACTCAGTAAAACTCTTTCTACCTCAGGCTTCTCGATTACCTGCCTTCAGGATAGGATCAGACTTCGAGAGTATAGATACCTCTAATCACTTGGTACCCGAACTGAATGAAATATACGAACAGTTTATAACGAACTTGCGTGATTATAACATTATGTGGCATTACATGGGATATCCCTACGATAACGAAACTCTGATTAGCTTCGCAAAGGTCCAGCTTACTGACAAAAGATCCAGCAATCTACAATCAATGGAAGCTATTCACGACAAGTTCTTCGGAAGCGGTAACCTGCTAGCCAAGCTGGCCACTAGAAATCAAGTAGGAAGTATAAAAGTTGGATTTTCCTTATTGAATTTATTTCTATTATTTTTTCCCAGCTTGAAGTCTTCACATGCAAAATGGTTCAGTCGCCAAGGCAGTTCCTTTACAATTGGTATGTGGGTTACGTCCTGCTAGAACTCAAGGTCCACGCAATGGTGGAGTGGTCCTGGATGATTCTGGAAAAGTTCGGGCTACGAGAACTATTACAGGATGAGGTGGGCAAGCGGGGTGCCTACAAGCGCAGGACCTCAGGTACACTGCCCAAAATCAAGGAGCTAATGAGCCGCGCAGACCGCTCCGTATGGCGTTGCGATCCCAGAAAACACAGTTCCGGAGTCACCTACGAGGAGGTCACCCGCCTCCTGCAGGGCTACGTGGAGAACGAGGTGGACCTGAACGAGGAGGGATCCTGCACGCAGGACTGCTCCTCTTATAAGACCGCCAAATCCGAAGGCTGCTTCGAAAACAAGTTCTGTGCTGAATAACCGAAATGCTCGGGAGGAGTGCACGACTGTCGCTCTGTGGAACCCGACATGGAGGTTTGCCAGGCTCCCAGCACATCCAACAGGAGGTACGAGTACATCAAGTACGAGAGTGGTCGAGTTCAAGGAAAGATTGGCAGTTGTCGTGGAAGGTTAAGTACAGCCAAAAGCTGGCAGCGGTGGTTCGTAAAGTGCAACTACTGTGTTTGCCTGTGCGACGAGCCAAGTGAGAAGTCGGATCGGTACTTCAACCTGAGACCTGTGATGGCCGATGTGGACAAAAACAGGTGAGGTTAATCAAGGCTTACAGTACGCCAGAAGAGTTATAAGTTTAATTTCTTCCAAAGCTAAGATACAAATAATTTAATTCTATAGGTATTAATTAACTGAAACTAAATCTTCAACTTAAAAAATAACTTAAAAATGTGTTAAACTACACTCCAAATTCTAGAGTCGTGACGGGCCTACGATTCGTAAAACACAACCGCGTCTTCCACCTTCAAATTGAGGAGGGAGAGCTCCTGCCGCTCGGAGGCATCCACCATACTCCGTCCAGTGGAAACAGTTGGACTCGTACTCCGTGTTGGACGACAATGTTATTATGGGCATAGACTTCCACATGCTGAGCTACGAGAAGCGGTCCATCGATCTGGATGAGCTGAAGGGGGACAACAACTCCGTGGTCACCGGACTGCGGTTCAAAGTGGTGGGAGGTCATCTTCAGCTGCAGGCTCTGTTCAGCAAAGTGGACTTCCTCTCGGGAAAGCTAATCGAACCGAAGTCAACAAGCTACTGGATTTCCGGGGACAATAATCGGCACAGGTGGTATACTTCCTGATCTTCTGATCTCTGTAACTAAATTGTCTTTACTCTTAATATTATTAGGAATAAGCTGAACCTTGCGGATGCAGCAGTACCCACGCACGTCCTCCGAGCAATCAATTCCTTACCCAAGTGACAACCAGTTCATAGAGTTTACCAACTCGGACTTTCAACAGGATGCTGCCCAGTCCACTGTGCCCTTCATCGACATCCAGGAAGTGAGTTCGGGGCGGACGGGTTCCGCTCTCCGGTATTGGTTTATATTCCAAGGGTCGACACGGATATGGTGGATTCCTCGCCCCAAAGCTGATCACCTACGACTTCACACCTTACGTCCAGTTGCTAACATTAGAGAACCCGCGATCCGAGGATTAGTATACATGCACATTTACCTATTCACCTATATTAATAAATTTAATAATCAGATCCTAAGGTTCCTTTAAATTTTCTGTACTTTAAAAACGGGAAACATAGTTAAGGACACCCCAGTATCCATCTTCTATAAGCTCGCAAAAAAGATGACAATGTCGCATGCTTTGCACGAAATTGGACTGCAAAAAATAAATTGTTAGATTTTATTTCTTCAGATTATTTTTTGATTCATAAAAATTTAATCTCTCATAATGTTTCTGTGTAATTAGAAAAATTCCCCGTGCTTTTAAACTAATTTCTTATCTTGTAAATTATTAGTCATACTATTGTTTTAAAGAAATAACAGGGTGTGACCCTAAAGAGCAGATATGAATATTAACTGATAATCGAGATGTAGCCAAATGAAGCGCAAGCAGACTCAATTCATTAAATTCAAAGCATCAAAAGAGGAAAGAAGTCCGACTTATGCTGCCCAAATTGGTTTACTTATCATGAAGAGCGCAATTATTTGGCTTTTGGGCACTGTGTTGGCCACAACAGCCTATGAAACCTATAAATTGACTAAGGAAGATAAAATAAGCCCGGAAATAGAAGAAATCTTTAGAGAAATCGACAGATTAAGTTACTTTAACGGGAATAAGGTAAGTGAAATCTTTGTTAGATCTTTTCTTTTACTCAGTAAAACTCTTTCTACCTCAGCCTATTCATTCAGCTGCCTGCATGATAGGATCCGACTTCAAGTATATAGATACCTCAAAGCCCTTGGTACGCGAAATGAAAGAAATATACGACCAGTTTGGTTGGATCTTGCACTGTTACGACACTATGAGGGCGTACATGGGATCTCCCTTCGAGAACGAAACTCTGATTAGCTTCGCTACGGTCCAGCTTACTGACAAAAGATCCAGCAATCTACAATCAATGGAAGCTATTCACGATAAGTTATTCGGAAGCGGTAACCTGATAGCCAAGCTGGCCACTGGAAATCAAGTAAAAATTATAAAAGATGGATTTTTCTTGTTGATTTTATTTCTATAATTTTTTCCCAGCTTGAAGTCTTCACATGCAAAACGGACCAGTCACCGAGGCAGTTCCTTTACACTTGGTATGTGGATTACGTCCTGCTGGAACTCAAGGTCCACGCAATGGTGGAGTGGTCCTGGATGATTCTGGAAAAGTTCGGGCTACGAGAACTATTACAGGATGAGGTGGGCAAGCGGGGTGCCTACAAGCGCAGGACCTCAGGTACACTGCCCAAAATCAAGGAGCTAATGAGCCGCGCAGACCGCTCCGTTTGGCGTTGCGATCCCAGAAAACACAGTTCCGGGGCCACCTACGAGGAGGTCACCCGCCTCCTGCAGGGCTACGTGGAGAACGAGGTGGACCTGAACGAGGAGGGATCCTGCCTGCAGGGCTGCTCCTCTTACAAGACCGCCAAGTCCGAGGGTTGCTTCGAAAATAAGTTCTGTGCAGAGCAGCCGAAATGCTCGGGTGGAGTGCACGACTGTCGCTCTGTGGAATCCGACATGGAGATTTGCCAGGCTCCCAGCACATCCAACAGGAGGTACGAGTACATCAAGTACGAGAGTGGTCGAGTTCAGGGAAAGATTGGCAGTTGTCGTGGAAGGTTAAGTACAGCCAAAAGCTGGCAGCGGTGGTTCGTAAAGTGCAGCTACTGTGTTTGCCTGTGCGACGAGCCAAGTGAGAAGTCGGATCGGTACTTCAACCTGAGACCTGTGATCGCCGATGTGGACAACAACAGGTGAGGTTAATCAAGGCTTACAGAACGCCAGAAGAGTTATTAGTTTGATTTTTTCCAAAGCTAAGGTATAAATAATTTTATACTATAGGTATTAATTAACTGAAACTAAATCTTCTTAAGAAATAACTTAAAAATGTGTAAAATACTACACTCCAAATTCTAGAGTCGTGACGGGCCTGCGATTCGTAAAACACAACCGCGTCTTCCACCTGCAAATTGAGGAGGGACAGCTCCTGCCGCTCGGAGCCATCAAACCGTCCTCCGTCCAGTGGAAACAGTTGGACTCGTACTCCGTGTTGGACGACAATGTTACCATGGGCATAGACTTCCACATGCTGAGCTACGAGAAGCGGTCCATCGATCTGGATGAGCTGAAGGTGGACAACAACTCCGTGGTCACCGGACTGCGGTTCAAAGTGGTGGGAGGTCATCTTCAGCTGCAGGCTCTGTTCAGCAAAGTGGACTTCCTGTCGGGAAAGCTAATCGAACCGAAGTCAGCAAGCTACTGGATTTCCGGGGACAACAAACACCAGAGGTGGTTTACCTTCTGGTCTTTTGAGCTCTGTGATTAATTTGTCTTTGTCTTTGTTTCAATAATATTAGGAATAAGCTGACCCTTGCGGATGCAGCAGTACCCACGCAATCCTCCCAGCAATCAATTCCTCACCCAAGTGACAACCAGTTCATAGAGTTTACCAACTCGGACTTTTACCAAGATGCTGCCCAGTCCACTGTGCCCTTCATCGACATCCAGGAAGTGATCTCGGAGCCGCCAGTTCCGCTCTCCGGTATTGGTTTATATTTCAAGGGTCGTCACGGATATGGCGGATTCCTCGCCCCAAAGCTGATCACCTACGACTTTACACCTTACGTCCAGTTGCCAACATTAGAGAACCCGCGATCCGGGGATTAGGATATATATTTACCATATTTACCAATTCAGCATAGTCGAAGTTATTAAATATGATAATCAGATACAAAGTTCCTTTCAATTTTCTGTACTTTAAAAACGAGAAACATGTTAAGGACACCCCAATATACAACTTCTAGAAGCTCGCCAAAAAGTTGACGGTGCCGCCATCAGGTCTGACTTTTCTGGTGACCCCAGCGAAGTCTTCTCTCTGAACCTTAACCCACTGGCGACCCCATTCCCTTAACCCCTTGAGACTGCACCAGTTTGGCAAGAGGAAAGAGCAAAACTCAGAAAAAAAAAGAACAACCTTTTTGTCGCATGCTCTGCGCGGATTTTGACTGCATAAAATATGAAATTAAATTGCTAGCCAACAAAATGGCGCCTGGGAAAATGACAAAAATATGAGACACAAGTGCAGAAGCCCCGCCTTTTCCCCACCCCCGCCCTCCGCCCCACAAAAGCTCTTTTGGCACTTTGTTGGGAATTCTCTTGGCGCTGTCGAGTTGATGACTTGCAGCTGTCGCATTTCTTTTCAGACTTTAGCAACTGCAGTGGAACCAAACGAAACGGCTTTTGGCACCTGGTTAGCCACCAGGTGGATGTGGATGAGGATAAGGATGTGGATGCGAGAGATAGGATTTTATTTGACGGCAAATATTGCGGAAACTCGCGGCAACTTCACAACGCATATTTGCCAAAATTCGAAGCTCAGTATAAAGAAATGTAGGAAAGAAACTTAAATAAAATATTTAGCTGGTAGCGTAGCTTTTGTGTTATCAATAAAACTATATAAATATCTTAAAAATGTATATTAATCTATAATCCTTTTAGGAAAAAAAAACAACTGCAAATTTATTTCCAATCACAGTAGACTTTGACTTCTCCGCCTCCTCTATTTTATTTTATAGAACTGAAAGTTGCTTATTTCCAGTTCGAGAGCTAAACTTAGTGGTAGCATGGGAGAGAAAAGCTTCCGCAAACTGGGACTGGGCGTGATCCTGACGGCTCTGATCCTGTACGCCCTCCTCTTCATGGACACGCTGATTTACGAGGCTGGCGGCCGGATACACAATGCCTTCTTCGTGAACACGGACGGATGTCGCATTGTAGCCATGGATGCGATGAACCCTACGATCGCCAAGTACACGGATTGGGAGTGGGAGGACAGGAGGTTCTACCTGGAGTGCCGGGAAAAGACCTGGTTCCGAACGGAGGTGGCCAACGGCGAGTGGTATCTGAAGCTGATCCGCGACATCGACAAGATCCTGGAGGAGAACGACCTCGAGCACGACTGGCAGATAGAATGCTTCTGGTTCCGCATAAGAGTCACCAGCAGGTGGCGAACCAAGCTGACCCACCGAACCAAGTTCCTCCTGGAGTTTCCCTATGCCGTCAAAGTTCCGCGGAATTTGAGGCATTTGCGAGTGAGGTGCATTAACACTCTTACAAACAAATCCTTAACCGAGGATGCCCACTTCTTCGTCCAACCGCCTCCGGAAAAGTTGCTGAAGAAAGCTCCTCCGAGTTTAAAACGCTGGGATGGAAAGAGCTTGTCGGGTGATGGAACTCCACCCATTTCCGTGATGATCTTGGGTCTGGACTCCGTATCGCATCTCAATTTGATTCGCCAAATGCCGAAGACAGTGAGATATATGCGCCAAAATATGTCGCATGTGGAGTTCTGGGGCTTCAACAAGATCGGCCACAATACCTATCCAAATTTGATAGCCCTTTTAACAGGTCTCAGTGCCTCGGAGTCCCAGCAGTATTGGATTAAACAGAACTGCATGGATGACCTACCGCTGATCTGGAAGGAGTTCAAGAAGGCCGGCTACAACACCAGTTTCGCCGAGGACATGGCCATCTACTCGATGTTTTACTACGGAAAGCCGGGCTTTAAGCGACCAACCACTGATCACAATTTCCACGACTACATGGTGGAGATGTATGTCCTTCGGGAGAGCAGCTCGGTGGCCGATACCCATTGTGTGGGCGGAAAGACCTTCATAGATGTCCTGCTGGAGATGAACGAGAAACTGATGCCCCACAAACAACGCTATCCATTCTTCTCGTTTTACTGGTGGGCCAATGGATTTCACGAGTTCTTCAATTCACCGCGACTTGCGGATGGGAGATTCGAGCGGTTGCTAAGGAGCCTCGATGAAACTGGCATTACCAACAACACCATTATCCTTTTCATGAGCGATCATGGCTTGAGATGGGGTCGCTTTAGGAGGAGCTTTCAGGGAATGATCGAGGACAGCCAGCCCTTTGTGTCCGTCTTGTATCCCGAGTGGATGAGAAAGGAGTATCCATTGGCCTTAAGAAACCTAGCTGGCAATGCCCACAGTCTGATCACCACCTATGATCTCCACAAGACCATGAAACACATCTTGGATCTAAGCTCTCTGAAGGATGATTCCATAATTAAGAAGTCTGAGGAGCTGTGGAAACTGAAGGGTTCGCAAGCCCCAAAGGCTGTTAGTCTTTTTCTACCCATCCCACCCTGGAGGAACTGCAACACTTCGCACATTCCCAGTGAATTCTGTCTGTGCCACAAGCAAGTTTCCATTCCCGAGAATAACCGAGGGGTCAAGAAGACGGCCAGCATTATAATCGACTACATCAACCAGTTAATGGTGGAGTATCCCGTCTGTGTTCCCCTCAAGTTGGATTCGATAGTGAGTGCCTACTTCGCAGTTCCCGAAAGGAATGACGACTTCCACGTCGAGAAGGGCCACAAGAACGCGTATCCTGAACAGGGACCCTTCTGGGAGAAGCGAACGTACGAGGACAGGGACATCGTAGTTCGATTGAAAACCAAGCCGGGAAACGCCTATTTCGAGGGAATGACCCGAAAACAGGGTAGCAAACTGTCGTTGATTGGAGAAGTGGTTCGGGTTGGTGACGATGGCAACAAGAACAACGACTGCATCGAGAATCCCTTGCTGGAACCCTTCTGCCACTGCGCCCTATAAGTAATGCTACCCCGAAAAAAAAAATAAAATAAGAATAAATACTACAAAGGGTATAACTATTTGTTCCTATTTAAAGGGCTAATACACTTTATGGAATACTACGAACATACTTGCCTTTAAATATAAAATGTTAAAGAGAAAAGAATATCATTCCTTGTATTTTTTATGGGAAACACTAGTTCTAAAACTTCCTGGCTAAACAGCTAAAAAGTAGACCACTGCACTTTACACCCAACTGAAGCCTAACTAACTTTTAAATCAACTATATATTTTTTGCTGTCATCCCCAAGAAAAAACTGCCTTCGAACTGCCCCCATCAATTATCCGTGAGTTATAACTTTCGATCCTGCACGTCGAAGTTCCACCAATTAGTGGCCACTGCCGCTGGGAGGCGAGTCTTTAAAAGTTTGCCGCATGAGTTGGCAAATGCCAATGTTGCACCTGCGGGGGAACTTTGGCCGCCGTCGAGCGGATAGATAGATAGATAGATATAGTACTATAGGCCATGGCCGGTATGCAGGTGGTCCAGCTGCGATTCCGGACTAATGGCATAAGCCGCTTATGTACCATGTACTCGCACTCGCAGTTTGCTCTTACTTTTAACCCACTCACCAGCAAAAACTTTTTTAGGATTATGGCAGATTTGACCAGCGCACACATACATATATCCTCGCAGAGCGGGACAGATAGAGGGAAAATTAGACGGAGGGAGAGAGAGAGGGAGAGGAAAGGCGAACGCTTTATAGTTTCAATATTTGCCCTGTCCTGTTCGGGGAAAATCCCCTGGGCACATAGAGGAGCAAACGCCGCACGGATTTATAAATGGACTGGCAAACATTTGGCCAAAACTTTAAGAGGAACAGAGACGAAAGGCTTGCAGCGGAAAAGAGACGGAGAAGGAGGAGTGGAATGTTTGCTCCGTTTTAAAGGAGTTCAGTTTTATTGTTTTTGGCCAATTAGTCTTGGTCTCTAACCCGTCTCGTCGGCAATCGTCTTGAATCTCTCCCCAAGGTGTCCTTAGCCGAGCGAAATTTATACACACTCTTTTCGGGGCATCCTTGAAATACTTTGGCGCGGCAAAGGGAGCTTAAATATGTTTTATGGATCACCATAAAATGTTGCGTGCAAAAGGAGCTTCAGTTTGGTCAGTCAATTTGTTCTTTTGTGCCTATAAATTTATATTCACAAATTTTAAATATTTAAATATAACTTTCTGCGTAGAAAAGCACACAAAAATTCTTTAGTAAACTGCAAAATAACAAATACCAAAAGTGTAAAGGGTATTTAACACTTCGATCAAACGTACAAATTTTTCAGCTTATTTTATTTTGCGTGTGAAACTGAGAAACTGAAGATAGCCAGCGAAAATTCCATTTCCATGCTTAAGTTGCTGCTAAAATGATTTATGTGCCGAGTTTATTTATTGCACCTCAATGGATCCAAATTTAAATGTTTCGCCAGCGGAGCAGTAAAACCGGTAGAATTCAATGGACGTCAGGAGGTAGATAAACGTCCGGATGGAAAAATTCAGAGATAATCGAATTGGAAAGCGGAAAATGAAAATGGAAGCTGCCGACTAGAACACAAAATCCGCTCAGAGCTTCAATTGTTAAAATGTTCCAAAAAATATGTATATGCTTATGTGGATTATGTTATTTATGGTTGACTGGGAAGGAATGGGATCAGCAAACAAACAAATTTATATATATAAATTTGCCAAACGGATGCTTTGTTGGGCGCAAGAGGATACATTTTGTGCAATCGATTGGAAGGACTTCGGTTCCTCTTTTCCTGTTCAAACAGATTGCGGATAATGCGATTTAAATTATTCAAGGATAAACAGAAAGGAATTTGAGCAAATGAACCCGAATCCGACTAATATATTTTAGAATTGTTTTTTTAATAAGCTCTGCCTGATTGCGCTTCTTAACTTTATGTGAATTGATTTGAATTTAAGTTCATTAGTTGGTTTAATACTTTTTAAAACTATGAGTAATATTTCCTTAATAATAGTCTTCCCTAAAATGACAAATGACCCTGTTTGAAACTTGTCCAGCAAAGGTGATTGGAAAACCAAGTTTGAATTGATATTTATTGATATTGAATTGATATTTATATTGGCCGAGATAAGCATACTGGCTGTAAAATAACTTGATTATAAGCTCAAGTTAACCAAATTAATTACCTTCCTGAAATATTAAACCACATCTGAAAATTGCTTGCATCAAATGAACAAATTATTCCTATTAATTATTAGAAAACCTCACAAAGAAACAACTAACCAGGACAAAGGATAATTGACACAGACATTGACTATTACAGCGAATACAACTGAAGAGGAGTGTCAAGAGTGGGAAGACGACCACAGAAACCACAGCATAAGGATTCTGAAAACAGGACATGGTCAAGAGGATCCTTTGAGGAGAGGAAAACCGTAGGACAAATTGGGGAAGACAGTGCTGACCCAACAGCAAACCTCAGATATCAATAAGGCAACTAATTGTGCAGACTATTTCCAGAATAATCGATGTGATTGGTCAAACATTTTCAATATTTCCTGAAAACAGCAGTTTTTACCTCTCTCCTCTGCATTTCCCCAAAGGAAACCCCCAAGAATGAAGCATTTTCTACCTTTCCCCTTCTTTCTTGGCAATTCCAAACAATAAGTTGCCATTTTACTGCCGAATGCTTAACCTTGTCCTCAATCGTAAAGGGAGCAGCCTTCTCCTGTTTTCCCCGCTTTCCTCCAGATGTTGCCCAAGATTATTTTCACCATTTTCTTTGTGCTTTCAGTGGGTCCCTAGAAAAGGGAAAATTGTGAAGGAAAACAACAAAGAGGAGCAGTGTTTGTGGGCTGAGCCTAATCAGATATTTACGCCACAGGCGGTGGCTCAAAGTAGAAAAATATCCAAAGGAACACACACCACACTTTACAAAAACAACATAACAATTGTAATAATACTTTAACTGCAAGTCTACAAAGTATGAAAACATTTTCTTTTTTTCATGAAAACTTTTCATTAATACAACTCAATAGCAATATAATGCACATAAGTACGAACTTTTTCATTATACAAAGTTATTTCTTCCTATGTAATCGCAATACATTTGAGCTTTGGGCTTTGACTCTCGCTGGGTGTTAAAATAAATGGCGAGCATTTAAGGCCAAATCCCCAATGCGGACCAACATCCTCCATAGCTGAATCCGAATCAGAATCGATATGGGAAACTCCCCCTTCCACCCGTTTCCATCTTATTTTTCTCAGTTCCCTGGGAAATCCGTTTCCTGTCAAGCTTTCACTTAATTGGCGGCATTTATCAAAATATTTCTTAGCAATAATGCTGGTAAGTTCTGCATAAATTTGAGAGTGGCGGTTAGGCTTAAAAGAAGAGGGCATAGGAGGCGTGGCATAATTCCTTGGACACACACATCTGCATCAGAACGTGTCCAAGTAGGAGAAGCCCAGAAATCAGGTCGCAAGTTCCACTTTCTCTCTACTTGGACTCCTTTGTTTCTCTGTGTTCCCTGTTTGATGTGTTGTGTGTGGAAAAGAAAAGTGGGAAAAGGCTGGTCCTGTAGAAGGAGAAAAGTTTGTAGAGCGCATTTCACTTGACCTGCTTGGCGGATTGAGATCCTCGAGAGCGAATGGAAAAGGGAAATGGAAATGGCACGGAAACGTTTGATGGCTGAATAAAGTTTGCTAAACATTTCCATTGTGGGCCAAGGCGAACTCTAAATACCGCTTGAGGGGCATCAGATCGAACTACAAACATGTATGCTTAATTTACCCTCTCCTATTAATTATCTCCCATTATCAGTGTGGGATTAACACTCGATTGCATTTGAGGCGCTTAAATCGCTGCTCAACCGCAATTTCCCCTCTCCGATTTCCGTTTCCCCTCCCCTTTCCCCCCGCAATTGCACTTCCGGTTCAGATGGCCGACCTCGAGAGCGGAAGGATGTTGCGCCTACTGCACAAATTGGGGGCGTGGCCAGCGGCTGTAGTGTATTGTAAATTGAAAAGCCGAGAAACGGGGTTCCTCCTGCACTTCCTCGTATGAATAAATAATTGATATCCCAATTCACTTCGATGTGGAACTGTGCTACGAGCATTTCCACATTCGGGGCAAAAGCTGAAACAGTTATGAGTGGGAGTGCTCCTGCTCCACTGGTTAAATCCCTGCTGCTAGGGAACCAATAATCCCTGACTGCCCGGCGTTAATAGCCGACCCAACCGCATAAGGATTACGGGAGAAATGTGTTCTGGAATTTCCCCACCTATTTCCTGTGCTCGCATATTTAAAGTGTTTGCAAATCACGGCAACGGGAATTAGTCGGGGCTTAAAGGGGAAAGGCGTAAAGGGAAGAGGTGCCTGCGGATTTCATTTGGCCAGCTGCACAGTTCTGACCAAATTGGCAAACATCAGGGCCAAAGGACGAAGGCCTCCATATGGGAATACCATATATGAAATATCGTGCGGGTTTGCTTTGCATTCAAATTGGAATCAGGTGAGCGGGAACTTGGGAAGATAATAATGGTTAAGCCAGAAGAATGCTTCGTCCAGTATTATACTGAAACTATTATTCATTTTAAAGTGTATTAAATTTTATAAATAGGGTTTATTAGATTAGTTTCTTTAAAATGAAGACGTTGAATGCTGTATTTCTTACTTCTTCCCTAAAGAAAAAACTCAAAGCTTGAATACGGAACTGAGTGGAGGAGAAACTGACTAACAATGGCCAGTTTCCAGTTCGCAGTTTCCACGAGGAGAGAGGATGGCACAGGACATCCAACCAGGACAACCACGAGCAATCCACGTCACAAACAGGAGCAGGACAAACAGCGGAGACAGCCGACAAGGACGATAATCAACTGGTAAACAGCCGCAGTTTCCCCACCAGTTTCGTCCTGCCTTCAAGGACTCCTCTTTTATCTCCACTGCAGCAGCAATTAAATTTCCCTGATTCCGTAATTGCGTCAAGAATGGACGGCGAAATCTGCCACGCCCCATTAGCCCCGCCCACAAGCTAGTGGTGATTGCCTATTAAAATATAATAAATTAAGCAGGGGAAACTTTCGCTTACCCTTTTTAATGTCTTCTATTCAGAATACATTTTTGTTGCAAATTAAGTGCTTTTTGATT